TGAAACGGGCAGCTGTTAGTTAACACCCATTGGAACCTCTCATAGAGAAAAGAACAAAGCTGCTGAAAAGCACCATTTACTCCTGCTAAGGTTTGTGGAAAAATCAACAATCTTCCATGATCAATAGAACTGAAGGCTTCTAATAAGTCTGAAAACTGACAGGTCTTCTAATACCAGCAGGAACACATGATCTTCATCTACGACGCAGTCAGTCAGATGCTGTACTAAAGTCAGGTCTGGTCCAAGAGCAAAGGGAGATCTGAAGTATCCACATATGGAGAGAATTATTTTACCACAAGCTTCTGAGCAGACTTACTCAGAAATGAAAGACTGATAATCATCATTCACGGCAAGCAGTGGTTTCTTGAGCAAAAACCACACAAACGTTTCCTTCAAAGTGTTTGGTAGCAAGCATTCTCTAATACAACTCTTAGCAATCTACACCAATAATAGACACAGCCTACACCCTACAGGAAGGACATAAAGATCTGATGTTTAATCAAAAGCATAGGTCGTGGCATGAAGCTCTCCCCAAAAACTCCAGTAGCTCAGAAAGCAACATTAGACATACAACAGTCATTTCTGTGAGGGTTTTCTCCCAGCTACCTTCCTGCAAAAAAAACCTGACCACCAAACAGCTTGCCAAAAATGAAATTACTTTTATCTACAAAATAAGAAGAAGTTTCCTTCCAAAGAACCAGACACTGAGGGCGTGTCTACACTTACCTCCAGAGTGATCGATCCAGCGGGGGGTCGATTTATTGCATCTAGTGAAGATGTGATAAATTGACCGCCAAGCACTCTCCTGTCGACTCCGGTACTCCACCGGAGGGAGAAGCATAGGCGGAGTCGACGGGGGAGCGGCAGCAGTCGATCTACCGCAGTAAAGATGCTATTTTTGTAGCTGAAGTTGAGTAACTTAGACCGACTTAGCTTGGCCCCCTTCCGCCTCCCCCCAGTGTAAACCAGGCCTGAGAAAAGACACTCTGGATTAACCAGGCTATGTACAGCCCAAACAAATGTGCTGTCTAAGATTTTGCAGATGCTATGATGGAGGCAAAGAACTGTTTATTTGTGGCTTCCTGCACAACCACAGCATTACAATTTTTAAAATCTTTAGGCTCCTTAGGATTTGTTTAAAAAAATTTGCTCTTGCAAAGCTCAGCTAGCAGTCACAGCAGAAATCTACAACAGTGCTAATGACTCTACTGCTGCTTCTGTTCCTATGGAAACAGGCTTCAGATTGTCAAGAACAAGATAAGGGCTTTAAAATAATCACATTTTTTTAACAGATACCCACAGTTGGAACCTGTGCCAGCCAGCCAGACAACTCCTTTCATAATGAAAAGTTTTACAAGAGGACATACAGCAATTCCATTCAGCAACTGTAGTAAGTGAAGCCACACGGTATAAGCTCAAGAGATTTGTCATCAGAATGCAGAGAAGGCACTTCTCTGTGTGCTGCATTGTCAAATACTGGTTCATCCGTGTTGGAACTCAGTATTTCCAGCTGAAATCTCAGTAATTTGTTTCATTTGTCTTAAATATTTTTCTCATATGCTTTAGGCTTTGGCAAAACTGGTGAAAAAAAATCACTTGTGCAAATTAATGTGAAATTGTGAATGTTTACTTTATTCTTTTATAAAGACTTAATCTTGAAGAAGGTAAATACTCCCATTTTATGGATGAGACACTGAGGGTCAGGCAACTCACTTGAGTTTCTCAAGACCACACAACATATCAGTGTCTGAACCACAATAAGACCCAGGCCTCAGATTTCTAATGCAGTGACAACAGCGCTGAACCTTCTGCTTTACTGTTTAACTCCCTCAGGAACATCCGGTAGTTGTGAAGCATTCAACACAAACAAGCTTTGTACAGTCTACCATCTTTATGATCTTTATATTCAGTCACAGCACAGGATAGCAGCGCTCATACAAAACAATAAAACATTCTAAACACAACGTTCCTCACTAGCTTACCCTTCCCTTAGGAGTCCACGAGGGATCATTTGTGTTCCGTCAACCAGGTAGGCAGGGTCCTCTGCCCCCTTGCCTACCCTGCCCCTGCAGCAGCGTCCCTACTCTTAATCTAGTGCAAAATGGCTCTCCCACAGTCCTTTCATAAGATTCCTGCTGGGGTCACCTGCTTCTTTTGGTCTCTGCCTGGTAAATTTCCATTACTTACAACCCTATCCTCCCTTCAGACCAGAGGAGGAAGTAGCTTCTCCCAGCAAGAGCAAACCCTCTGTCCCAAGGTATTTGACAGTAAATAGAAAAACACTGAATGTTGATCATTCACCATTGTCTCTGGCCTGGCAGAGAGACATGACAAAACCTTGCTAACTCAGAGTGGATCCACATACATATAAGCTTTCCATGGCACAGTAATTTCATGAAACAATTTCGTAAAAACATCTCCGATTCAGAAGCAGTACAGACAAGACCCCTAAATCATCACAAGTGCCTCCATGACAAGACACTTCAGCAGCATTTTCGAAAGTGGCCTCCTCTTATTACACATGGCTGAGTTTTTGAATGCCCAGCTTGAGACACGTGGGGCCTGATTTTCAGCATTGAGCAACCATAACTCCAACTGAAGTCAATGGGAACTGCAGGCATTCCACACCTTCAGGGAAAAAATTCAAACTCACAGGGGTCTGAAGTTGGGCATCCAAAATAAAAGGCCATTTGTAGAAATATGGGACTTAGCCTCTCTGCGTCTCAGGTTGCCCATTTGTAAGACAGGGCAACACTATTTACTCTATGTGAGCCTGAGAATAAACAGGATATAAGATGTCCCCAGCCCCAGGCAGGTGGGTATTACTATCCCATTTTACAGATTAAGAAATAGTCTCACAAAGTTAAAATGCCTAACCATAGGAGGCAGTAAGGACTAGACATAGCTCTAGCAATCAGCTAACCTGTATTCTAATCTTACTTCTGACAATGACTTGCTGGGTGACCTTGACCTAATCAATAAGGTCAGGTGTCTCTATGTGTAAATGTGGGTTTTACATGTTTACTTAACTAATGAGTGTACAGTATTACCAATGGTTCTTTCCTTTTCTTAATCAGCTAGTAGGTAAACTTATACCTACCATCTGACTGGTATAGAAGACACTAGAGAATCAACTACATACTATATATTATATTCAGACAGATGACTTATGATGCCATATCAACATATCTGTTAATCCTGGTATGTGTTACCCTATGGGAATTTTTAGAAAGATTCATTATGTACATACTGTACATAAACCCGGTATATCATATACTCTGTTACAGGGTTTCCACAATCTTCTGTTTTACGATGAGTATTAAAAAACTACAACAAAAACCCATGTATACCCCCAAATTTAGAGCTCTAATTTTTTTTAAATGTCAGCTGCTATTTTTCAGTAAAATATCTTCAAAAGTACCATAATTTTCAAGTATTTCAGAAGAAAAGAAGGAAATTGCTATAGTAGCTCAAATGTATCAAGACAGACAGTAAGTAATGCAAATTATAGGATATAAACGTTCATGTTCATATTGCTGTAGATGTCGACTCTTTATTGGAAGTGAAGTACAAAAGTCAAAATATACCCAAATTGTGTACTATTTAAACCCATTTTTACTCTGTACTTGCTAATGACATACTAATGCCAACTTAAATTTTTATTTATGGTCTCTGCTATTGCCAAAAACACTAAATAAGAAAAGCCAGACTTCCATCCTACAGTATATGCACATGCCCAAATATGTTATATATGTACTATGTATACACTGTGAACAGGGAGTGCTTAAAATCAGCAGGTTGAAACTTTCTGTTTATATTGATTTGGAGCTTTGATCCGTCTCTACTAAAGGTGCTGGCAACTTAGAGTTCAGGAAATATTTGTCAATTTCAAACTTTCATAATTGCTATAACATATGAAGGGAAACTGAGTTGTGAACGTTCTTGAAGTCTGAGCTCTTTGCACATGTGAAGTGGAGTAATGTGCACATTTTTAAAGTGTTGGCTTTAATTCACAAGGAAGAACAGTGTAAATAAATTACTCAGCATAAAAAAAAACAGAATATGGAATATAACATAGAAAAAAACCCACAATATCCTAATAATGTGGCATCCAAAAGAACTCCAAAACCCATACGCCTTATTTATAGAGATGGAGACACAAACCCGTGGACAGCAAAAACAACGAGGATTCAGAAAACACAGAAGAAAGGAAAAGAGTAATACAGGAACAGTGACTTTGCCATATTTTCCTCTCACTGATACTGGAATAAATCTGAAGAAACTCTACTGAAGTCCACAGAGATACACCAGATCAAAACTAGCATAAGCAAAAGGAGAATCAGACACTGTTTTTTTCTGGGATTCACAAGTGTCCCAATTTCACCAGTGGTAAACAACTCTGAAATCTGGAGGCCTGCCACCTAGATTATAGTTTGGTGCTACAAAAATAATTGGATCAAAGCAGTTTCTAATATGCATTTATTTAGTGCCCTGAAAGTACGTCTATCTGAGCTGGAAGACATTTCTTGCTTTGGGCTGGAGTGCTACTAAGCGCATTTGAGGAACTCTGTTCTAAATGAAGTAAGCATAGGATACATCAGCTTGGAGTTTGTTTTATTTTTAAAATCACAAGGGCACCAAATAAAAGAATAAAACTAAGATATTTCAAATCAATGAATAAAGAGGAGCATGTTTAAAAGAATTATATCCATAGTTTTCTCCTTTAACAGACAATATTTTATATTTGCTCAGATCTAAATTATTCTCTAGAGCACCAAGTAATTTCAAATTATTGACTTAAAAATATTGTTAGCTGAGTACTTTTGGAATGTGAAATGAATATTCACAGCAGCATAAGTCAATCAGCACTTGAGTCATATTTTTTTTAAATGAAATTGACTATGCATTCCCCATGCAGTGTTATGTGTAAACAGCTTCCTCAACTTCAGCAGGATAGCTGGGAATTCAGTATTCTACATCAAGTCATTCTAAGAACTTACCATTTCCAGATCTCCATCAGCAACTGCTCTTAAGAGTTTTTCTATCTGTATATAAAATCAGAAAAGGGAATTTTAGTTGCTTTGGTAATACTGGTATTAAACTGTACTCTGAAAATCCAGTGTCCTTTATTAACCTCCTAATCTTAATCTGAAGGATTACAGCTGGCCCATTTCAGATATGTTGATAAAGTTATAAAGTAAAACGTTATTAACTTATGAAATACAAAAGCTGTATAAGGCTATAGAGCCATTCAATGATTTTTGAATTGCGCAGCAGAAGATAATCATCTAAATATAGAACACATATTGCGCATATGTAAATAAGCTCATGCTAGTTAGTACAGCAAATACATTTTTCAACCTCACCAGCAATTATGCGTGTACCTTTATTTAGGATCCAGCATTACAAAAGAAATAAAAGCTATTAAAGGCATGTAGCTCCCCATGGATGATGTTTTGGGCTCTTGCTAGGCTGGTAGTTGATGCCAAAGGGGTCCCTTTTTTTTTCTTTTTTTAATAGTAGCTTGAGTCAAAACATGTTTTGCACTTCTACATCTGCATATTAGTGGTTTGTAGTAGTTGCAAGTTCTACTCTACTTCAGTGTTAAAATAAACATTGTCAAATTGGACCCAAAATCTAAATTTATTCTAAGTATGGAGTTTGCTTTTTTTTAAATAATTAAAACTTACTATGACATCACTGAAAAGGTATAAAAACATGCAGTATTTTTGCTGCACCTGCAAAAGCATGTTAAAAGGTCTCTGATGACCCAATATATCAGCATTTTAACAAATATTCATAGGACTGTGCTATCACCAGTGATACTAGTGTATAAAAAGATGTTTCAGCATAAGATACTGTGGCAGTTGACCTCATTTCTAAGTAATGGCAAGATTGACATTTCAGCTTCTATCTAGAAATTTCTACATTCTACATCACTGGTAGTATCTGAGCACATTCAAAAGACAGACAGACACATTCCTTTGCCAGATAGAAAGGGTATAACTGAGGGTGAACAAAACGTTTTCAATTTCCAAAGTTCCAAAGAACATTCTGCAATTAATGGAGAGGTCTGCTTTAAAATTATTCATTCAAGTATTTTTGAAGGCACATTAGCAGTCCTATGATGAACATGAAATAAATAAATTAATCAGTAAAAACAAGTCTCCTGTCCCTGTTATTAATACCAACTTAGATGATTAAAACTGAATTTACTTTTCAACATTACACTGCTTGGATCATGATGATAAACGTTTGAGATTTATGTTTTTTGTTTACATTTGTATTGCATTCAGCTTGGACAAAGAAACAGACTAATTGGTTTTCATGTTTTGGTTCTCATGCACTAGCTCAGTACTTCAGTGCTGGAGTTGCAAAAACCAAAAATCTTTTTTTTTGTAATTTAAAAAAAATTATGAATATATAATTATATATTCCAACAAATTTATTACAAAACCTACATTTTGGGCATAAACTACTTAATATCGCTAAATAATTTCTAGATGAAAATACATAATTTATTGTTTTCTGTCCTGTACAAAATTAAAGATGACTTCTAGTTTGGATAAACAGAACTGCTACATAGGCCCAGATCCTGCAGTTGGACCTGCATGAGTGGACCAAATAAATGGGGGAGCAAGTGAATTCAATGGGATTCTATAGGGACTCAAGAATCTCCCAGTAAGGATCAAAATGTAGGACTAGGGTCTCAGTTCTTTCTCTGACTTATTTTGGAAGCTTTAGTCTTTGGTTTCTTTTCTCTACAAATAAAGTAAGAAAGAAAGAAATAGTTGGAGAGGAAAGTATTGTTTATTGGGATAATCTCTTTCTCCAGGCTTTTGGGGAGGAGATTGGAATAGGAGCCTTGAGGGCAAGGGACTCTGAGGCTAGAGTGGTTCATGGGTTCCACTCCCCTGGTTTTCATCCTGGTTTTGGGGAGGTTGCTAAAATTAATTTTGTTAGATTACCATATTTCTAATATATGGTAAAAGCAATCCAGGGATAGGCAATATATGTTTGTATAAATCTACAATAAAACAAATCAAATCAAATCAGGGAGGTCTGTACTTTCCCTATCTCTTCCCAATTACTCTCACAAAAGCGAAAACCCTTGGCCCTCCTCCCAGGCCCCGCCCACTCTATACCCCCATCCCTCTGTTGCTCACTCTCCCCACCCTCACTCACTCATTTTCACCAGGCTGGCTCAGGGAGTTGGGGTGTGAGAGAGGGTGAGGACTCCGGCTGGGAATGTGGGCTCTGGGGTGGAGCCAGGGATGAGGGGTTTGGGGTGCAGGAGGGGGCTCTGGGGTGGAGCCGAGGGGTTCGGAGTATGGGAAGGGGCTCTGGACTGAGGGGGGGGATTGGAGTGTGGGAGGGGGTACGGACTCTGAGCTGGGGGTGCAGGTTCCGAGGTGGGGCCAGAAATGAGGAGTTCAGGGTGCAGGAGGGGGCTCTAGGCTGAGACAGTGGGTTGGGATGCGAGCAGTGGTGAGGGCTCTGGCTGGGGGTGCGGGCTCTGCAGTGGGGCTCGGGATGAGGGGTTTAGGATGCAGGAGGGTGCTCTGGGCTGGGACTGAGGTTGTTTGGGAGATGGGAGGGGGATCAGGGCTGGGGCAGGGGGTTGGGGTGCGGGCTCTGTCTGGGGGTGCAGAGTCTGAGGTGGGGTTGGGGATGAGGGGTTTGGGATGTAGGAGGGTGCTCCAGGCTGGAACTAGGGGGTTTGGAGTGTATGAGAGAGCTCCAGGCTGGGACCAAGGGGTTCAGAGGACAGGAGGGGGATTAGGGCTGGGGCAGGGAGTTGGGGTACGGGAGGGCGGTGAGGGCTCTGGCTGCTGGTGGGGCTCTGGGGTGGGGCTAGGGATGAAGGAGGGTGTTCCAGCTGGGACTGAGGAGTTCGGGGGGGCGGAAGGGAGATCAGGGCTGGGGCAGGGGGTGGGCTCTGTCTAGGGGTGTGGGCTCTGGGGTGGGACTGGGGATGAAGGATTTGGGATGTAGGAGGGTTCAGAGTGTGGGAGGGGCTCCAGGCTGGGGCAGAGGGTTGGGATGGGGGTGGGAGGGTGAGGGATTCCGGCTGGGGATGTGGGCTCTAGGGATGAGGGGTTTGGGGTGCAGGAGGGTGCTCCGGGCTGGGACCGATGGGTTTGGGGGGGTGAGAGAGGGATCAGGGCTGGTGCAGGGGGTTGTGGCGCGGGAGGGGATCAGGGGTGCAGGCTGCAGACGGCACTTACCTCAAGCAGCTCTCGGAAGCAGCAGCATGTCCCCCCTCCAGCTCCTACGCTGAGGCACAGCCAAGCAGCTCTGTGTGCTGCCCCGTCCGCAGGCTCTCCCCGCCCCCACAGCTCCCACTGGCCACAGTTCCTGGCCAATGGGAGCTTCAGAGTGGTGCTTGGGGTGGGGGCAGCATGCAGAGTCCCCTGGCTGTCCCTATGCATAGGAGCCAGAGGGGAGGTCATGCTGCTGCTTCCGGGAGCTATAGGGAGCCTGGCTTAGCCCCGCTGCACTGCCGACTGGACTATTAACAGCCAGGTCAGTGGTGCTGACCGGAACCACCAGGGCCCCTTTTCAACCGGGCATTCCAGTCTAAAACCGGACACCTGGCAACCCTATTCCCAATCCACCAATCAGGTGCTGCTGTTTGGGAAATGGAACAGACTGCAACTTTACTATAGGAAATTGACACTTGAAAGCTCAAGAGATATTATCCCTATTGAAGCAGTGCAACTGCACAGGGCTCTTCTGGAAGCTCCCACACAACACAGTAGCCAACAGCAGTAGCCCACAGCATAGCTTGAATGCCTGAAGGCAGAGCTACATTAGCAAACTTTTCAACCATCATTCAATACCAGTGTGACTCCACCAGCTGTAGCAACTGTGGAAGTCAGAGTAGACAGGGCTCTGCCATTTTACCATCATACTGCCTAACACTGTAGCCTAGGGCAGTGGTTCTCAATCTTTCCAGACTACTGTACCCCTTTCAGGAGTCTGATTTGTCTTGAGTACCCCCAGTTTCACCTCATTTAAAAATTACTTGCTTAGAAAATCAGACATAAAAATACAAAAGTGTCACAACACACTGTTACTGAAAAATTGCTGACCTTCTCATTTTTACTATATAATTATAAAATAAATCGATTGGAATATAAATATTGTACTTATATTTCAGTGTGATACTTGAGCCTGTTTTTCACTTGTGAGTCTTGTCTGAATCCCAAGCCCTGGTGTCCAGGGCTGAAGCAGGTAACTTAACTTCACAGGTGGCTCCCATGGCATGGAGCCCCGGGCAATTGCCCTGCATGCCACCTCCTAATGTCGGCCCTGTACTTGTGACCCCCCCCAAAAAATACATCCCATGACCACCCTGGGGGCTGCATCCCCCAGATTGAGAAACACTTATCTAGATGAGTTGAGTACCCCCTAGAAGATCTCTACGTACCCCTGGTTGAGAACCACTGGGCTAGGAGACTTACTATAGTGTAGAAAAGGCTTTTCTGTTCCTCCCTGCTCTCCATTTAGAATGCTATGCTTTGCCTTCACTCCCTTGGTGCCCTGGACCATATGCTGTAAAACGTCAATTGTCAAGGGAGGTTTACCGCAATCTTGGGATTGTCACAGTCAGCAGGGATGTCCTGGGCATGTAGAAATGCGGCATCTACTCAAAGATGAAGAGGGACTTGGATGGGGACTTGTACATATTACTTTGCATATTGTTACATTAAACCTGTGTCCAACTCTGCCAGAGAGATCAAAACAAGGTCATGACTATTGTCAGAGTCTGATTTTATAGCTTACAGCCTTCCTGTAATAGAATGGGATAGTAGGCATACACAGCTCTGTGGTCAACTCTCTGTTAAAACACTCACATCCTTATGCATCCAAGAACTCACGGGAGTTTAACATCAGCAGCCTAGTCAGAGGAACATAGCCATTTGTTATGTAGCTTATGCATGATTCATGAATGGTTATAAAAAAGTCTGGCACCCCTCCAGGTTGTTCTCTCCTCAATGGAAGAACTGTACCTTCCTTTGCATGCAAGCTCACAAGATGCAGAATTCCACCTGGCAAAGTCTGCTTCACTTCACCTACTTACTTGCTATATTGTTCCATTGCCAGAGGGCAAAGCAGTTATTGTAAGATCCTCAGGAGAGAAATTTCCTAAATTATTTGCCTATATCTTTACTAATGGTTCTTTTCCATGGTGCCAGTAAGTCATGGCAAGTCATTTGTGTAGAACACCAAATAGGTCTCTCCTTGCATTGAATTGTTTGGACAAATAGTTATTTAGCAGCCAGCAGCGTGGATGGATAAAGACTGCATTGACCCCTTAGCCCATGGTCTAACTCCTACAGTCTGTAGAGCCAATCCTGCCAGTCTCCTATTCCAGTGGCAATTCCCTACATGGAGAATTTGCAGAATTAGACTCTGGTCTTCTTGCTTAGTGGGAGTAATAGCAGTGAGTCCATGTGAAACTTGGCTAACGGTAATGAACTAAAGTTGGATTACAGAAAAGCCATTAACCTCAACAGACTAAGGTATAAGCTGCTAGTAATCTTTTCTCCTGGTTTGAACTACAGACTCAGCCTATGGAGTGTGATAAGTTTGTCCCTTTAAGAAAAAACAAATCCTCAACCTGTTATTGGGTGAGATTTTGTGTGCATTATACCTTATTTATGGAGCAACATTACTGGGCTTGGCTCTGTACACACAGACATGGACCTGTTATAAGGATATTACAGTGTAAATTACACACTGGAAAAAGTGTACACACAACTAAACACAGTATACAAGAAGAGAGTGATAATACCACATTGTGAATTAACATTTTCAACTCAGGTTTCAGAGTAGCAGCCGTGTTAGTCTGTATTCGCAAAAAGAAAAGGAGTACTTGTGACACTTTAGAGACTAACAAATTTATTTGAGCATAAGCTTTCATGAGCTACAGCTCATTTCATCGATGAAGTGAGCTGGAGCTCACAAAAGCTTATGCCCAAATAAATTTGTTAGTCTCTAAGGTGCCACAAGTACTCCTTTTCTATTTTCAACTCATGCTCCTTCATGCTTTTTGGAGTTATTATCCAAGAGCCTCCTAGAATAAATATTTTGAGAAGAGATTTGAATGAAGAGAGGAGGGATGTGTCCTTTTTTTTGTAAAAGGAAGGAAAGAGAATTCTAAGCAAGAGGTAGTATGGAAGGAGACAAAGGTATTTAAGAGGGTGGCTTGAAAGGAACAGAGGAGTGGGAAGAGGAAGAAGAAATGAAACCTGAGAGGTAAGGGTGGAGGTGAGCAGGGCTTGGGAAGGGAAGATGAAAAGTATGGGTTTGAGGTGGAAGGTGAGAGGAAGTGAGTGTGGAAATTTAAAGGGAGTGACCTGGCAAGAGTGGATTTTATCAGCCGCATTTTGGATACATTGGAACTGGACACGTGACATGCAGGCAGGGCAACAGATGAGATATATTCCTTACTATGTTCTGAAAATTTCTTCCTATGGTTTATTACAAAAGCTAGTTCTTTGCACTTCATCATATTTCTTGTCAACTCCCCGCCTAGAATCTTCTCTTTTCTATTATTAATTTTAAAACATACCATACGATGTTATTTGATTCTGATGCTGAGTTTTATAGACAGAAAAGGAGACTGAATGCCCCCAGGAGCTTATGAACACACAGAGCACCCAGTTAACCACATTGTGATATTAACAGCTGCAAAGTACACTTTTAAAAAAAATACAGTTCCATCATTAACACTTCCTAAGAGTCAAGCAAAAATGTATGCTTAGATACCAAGGTGACAGCCGATACCTCGGAATAGCAGTGCTTCACCATCTGCTCTAACACCAGTAGTGTGCCTCCTCCACACCCAGATATATATATAGTGCCAGGTGACTTAAGAGTTTTCCTCACACTTGGGGAATGAGTCTTTATTTGGCACATTTCTGATTCACGCACAAAGCAGCAGCTTGTTATTCACAGTATTCCAATCCAATGGGTGCTCCACTTGGTGCTCCTGTACAGAGAAGATTCCTGCGTAGTGCAACAGTACTGAAAGACCTCATTGTTTGTGGAGCCATCTCTGACTACTTACTTATGCTTAGTGAAGTGCTGAGAAAGTACAGTACATGATCTTTCTTTCCGTGGAATCCTTCTCAGAGCAGGAAAGTCATAGTGTGTTTAAAGGAGACAAGTGAGGATTTTTCCCTTTGGCTGAAGTGAAAAAACTTCCATTGCCCTTTTCTGGAGCTCTCCCTTAGTTTACTATCAGTGCAGGACTAGCTTATGCTTATTGCTTACTGTTAATTAGCTATCCCAGACAGCTATGTCTGGGGGAGTAATTTAAAATGACACTGTAGAATTGGCACTCAAGGCTACCTTTGCACAGCTAAATACCAAGCTTTTATTACTCTTACCTCTTTGTAATTATTTTTAACTTCTTGTCTGGTGTCTGCTGACGCTGATGACAAGCTAGAGACAGATGACCCTCTGCTGAAGGTGTCTGCTGAATGCTGAGGAGACCTAACTGGAGACTTTAATCAGATCAACAAAAACAAAACAAACAAGAGAGTTTACATCCTCATGTTAAATAGCTAAAATGTATGCAAAAGATTAGCAACTCACTCTGTTACCTCAGAAGCACTCTGTCCCCTTTCAAATGTTAGGTAGTTTAATTCCATCAATGATAAAATCTGCAGAAAAAATATTAATGAAGAGATACAATGCAACTCAATTTCAAGAGGAATTTACTGATGGAAACACAAATTAGCCAACCACTTAATATCAGCAAAAGAGATTATGATGAATCAGATTAAAGCAACAATTTGCAATGTTTACATTCCATACTAAAAAAAAACACTGCCATGCATTTTAAGATGTAAAATATGAGCTTCCTTTCTTGAAAGTGAATGAAAATTATTTTTAATTGTAAGAGTACATGCCCACATATCCCATTCACAACTAAGCTTCAAATACAGCTAAATCACTGTGGAAATGCATTTTAAAAACCTCCCTGCTAGCAGATTGGGAAGAATACCTTAGAATTTAATGCACACTGCAGGGAAGTCTCTTTCATCCGGTTTTGAATATCTGGGTTGGCTCCATTCTGCAGCAGGACTTCTATTATTCCTTGATAGCCCCAGCGAGCAGCTATATGGAGGGGAGTATCTCCTTTTTCGTTACCAGTATCTAGTCTACAAGAGTGTACATCATAATAGACTAAAGCTTTGACACACTGGAAAGAAAAGAAAAACCATCAATGAATTATATCACTGGTTCCCAATCCACATAACATGTGCAATCTGAACAGTAATGCTGGTTTTATTGCAGATCCTAGAATCTACTCCCTCGGGTAGGTTTTTTTATCAAATATATGTCAATTTTTAAAAGGCCATAATAAATAAACAATGAATAGAAGGGACCCAAACAACTAGGTTTTCTAGCAGCTACACCAATGTAAATGGATACCTACATTAAACAAATACTATGATATAATAAAGTGCCAGTTTATGAATTAAAGAGTCATCCTCCAAAACTGTGTTTTATTTACTTTTTTAAATAAACAAATGTAATCCAAATTGGCATCACAATTTCATTGCATGCAGTAATCCTATTAGGATGTCTATTTAGTTTGTTACAAAACAATTACTTACATCCTCATGACCATAAGTGCAGGCTAAATGAAGTGGAGTATTGCCATTATTGTCTTGAACATCTGTACTTGCCTTATAGTGCAACAAGAGAAGCTTAACAGAAAAAGAAAGTCAACATCTAAGTAACAGAAAATTAATGGACAAACAATTGTTACTGCTGTAGCACCCTTTAGGTTTCTAGGATGATGAATTACTATAGTACAAATAGAACCACATCTCTTCTGCTTTAAACCAGTAAGTAAAGATGGTTGTCCTTGGCTTCATGCCACTATTTTGCTCCAGTTCTTGTCACACACTATTTAGAAACCACAGAATATATCTGCAGACTGACTCTAAATCATCCACTGTAGCTAGGTACTTCAGCACAGATAACATGTATATTCACTCAGTGTTCTAAGAGCGCTGTAAAGAAAAAGGCACAATGGGTTTAATTAAGTGCATCATTTCTCTCTCTGAATTTCTTAGTTTTGAACATATGAGTTGCTGTAATATTATATGAAACATTTGTTAAAAAATTCAAGTTTACAACAACTGACTGAACTGTATGATTAGTCTATTTTCAAAACAATGTTTAAAGCATTGTATTTACTTGACTGATCATAATAGCTCTTTTGCATCAATCCAGAGCAGAGATTCCACTATCCTATCAGTCTGTGCTAAACATTAGACATGAATTAAAAAACATATTGAAAAATACTATGCATACATAATGACTAACAACTGAGTTATTCAGAAATAAGCAAAGCCATACAAATCCCATTCTGAACTAATGGGCTTACAAAAGGTAACTGGAGATAATAAGGCTACTTGGAGTTTTGGGAATGCAGAAAAGCATGTCACATTTGGCAAACCTCTCAAAATCTAGTTTTCAAACTAATTTAGAAAATGTTAAATAAAATTAAAAAAATAAAAAACTTGAACCAAGAGGACAGAGGTAACAAGAATTTATTCTCAACATGAGATCTTGCAGATCTGAGAAAATTTTGACATCTGGATTATAAACCTATAAAGTTTAGCATTTAATTAAAATGCTGAAAGGCCCTGAAGTGTGATAGCACACAGTTATAATGAAGCTTTTGCATCCCTGAACAATGATATCAGTAGAGCAGCAATAGTGAGATTTGTTTTTTCTTCAACTTATATATGTATTTAAAAAATTCACTGGTTAATCCTTTCAGTGCTTACTGTAACGTTCTGATATCCTTTCTGACAGGCAAGATGAAGAGGTGTTGAACCATGGTAATCTGTAGCATTGACTACAGCTCCTTTGGAAACTAACAGGTCAATTAATGACGCTTGCCCTGTGGAAAATATGTGGTCATTAAAACTGAGAAGTAAACATCTCACAGGAAAAGTTACTTTTCAAACTAAAATGTGAACTTCAAACCTTGACACTCTTCATTCTTGTGCACACTGCATATTCGCTTTCTTAGTACTTGCTCTTTGTTATGAACAGTCAAGTTACTACAGATTATTCAAGGGCACAGCTAAGAAAGGGGGGCCCCTAATCGCAACTAAACTGCAATTGTATCTTGATGGTGAACAGGGAATGGAAAGTAAACTGATGTCACACAAAGTGCTCTGCTATGTACTGTGCAAGTCAAAGGTAATATAAGCAAGAACAAATAAAAAAAAATCTCCAGAGTAGATTAATGTGTCTGCTTACAAGCCTGAGGTCAGGACCAGGACGCACATTCAAGGGGTGGGGAGGGATAGCGTATATCATGCCACATATACTCGGCTACAGGATGAATATAAGACTTCCTACATAACGCTGTCAGTTTGTAATAGGATATCTCCTTTCTGAGGATACCTCCTAATCTACCCATCTGGCTGAAAGAAATGCCAAGGAAAATCAAATAAGAAACCAAAAGAAAATGCAGACAAGAGCACCTGGACTGAAGGGAAAAATACAAGAGTTTCATTCTGGGTCAAGATTTCTGTTTGTCTATCCCACAAGTAAAATACAGTTCACGCAAAACTCATCACAGAATGTAAGTTGAAAAATAAGCTAATGTGTCCCCTCTTTCAAGGACTTAATGAAGAGTAAACAGAAGGTAAATATTACACAGTCATGGAAAGACAGCAATACTCACCATAAATAGCAGCTATATGAAGTGGTGTGTATCCCCTGTCATCTCTGGAAAATGGAGTGACAATGGAAGGATCATTCATCTTCCTATAAAACAGGATAGTTTTCAAGAACATAAGTTAGCTGTATATCAGGTACTGGAGAAAATTTACACACGCACACACTCACTCACTCTACATAGTTTTTACACCTATTTAAGTTTTCAAACCTATTTACCCTCTATCATTTCTCATTAACAGATTATTCCATATGGGTTTTTTACTTAGCCAAAAGAAAAAAAAATCCAGACATCTATTCTTTTGACTGTGAAATCCAAATACAGAGAAGAGAGTCACTCTTTAACATGTCCAAAGGATGTCACACTATCTCCCCTATCTAGGTAACTGAGCTCCCAGCTTTTCAATACTTTCCTATTCAAATCTGCATGCATAATTCTGAGACACCTACAATGTCTTCTGTCCCTCTCAACCTAGATACATACACACACGTACAATGCTAAAATGCAGCCAATATCCCCTCCAACCAGAAGAATTTTCTGGACAAGGCACTGCACATTTCAGTATTGCCCTCATACTCTAAAGGAAACCCTAGAATGCGGACCTTTAGAAAGCTTTTCATATGGAGATGAAGAATCCTTACCCAGAAACCAGCTTCTCGCAGTTGTCACAGAAACAGAGTGGGTGGCACATTTTCTGTACAGTGTCTTTATCACTATCACCTTGACTTAGTAATTGTCCCACTTCCTCCTGGTTACCTGAAGCAATATACTACAAAAGGCCAAGAGGAGGAAGAATGAGGTATTGATGTGAAAAAGCTTAAAATAAAACCTACTTCATCCACTGAAGCAAAAAAACAAAGCAACCGATTATAAATGAAGCACTAGGAGAACTGGTGCAAGGCTGGATAGAGCTGCTGCACATAATCTTCAATGAGTTTTCAGTATAAATAGCCCTTAGATCTGATCTTGGTTTGCTTTTCATAAAAAAAAAATTAAAACAAAATTCACATTGTTTTAGACTCAGTTACAACAATGACCTCCCTCTGTTCAGACACATTATTACTTGCAGTCTCTAGCCATACATGTAAATATGTATAATTAAAAGCTCTGCTTTGTGTCTTTGCACAGGTAAAATTCTCTTTTTAGAATTACATTATGAGATTGATTAACAAAATATGTAGGAGATGGGAGGTGACTGCACTTTAGATTTTTTTTTCAGCAAAACTTCTTGGTTTTAGGCACCAAAGTCTCTAGAGACTAACAGCCATTGGCATTGCAACTCTGTTTTAATGGGCCATTGACTATTACAGCAGCACTATTCCAACTCCATTTGTTTCTGTGCTAGAATCTGTAAGAATACATTGCCAACTTGCAGAAGCTTTGGCACAGAACTGCAATGCACTTATTACGCAGGCACCTCTTTATTGTCTAACATATGGCTTTTTTGGCACTCCCAAGCACAAGCAACATGGCGAAGTCATTACAAAGTGTGTGTTATAGTCTAGAAAACTGTGTGTAAGAGATTGTACATATATAATGTTCTGCAATGCAGATTTTTCACCTTGAACAAGCAATCTATTGGGGTCGTGGACATCTGGGACAGCAAGTTCATTCTTTGTCTCAAGAACTTGTCACTAAACTTCTCAGATTCCTGAAAAGAAACAAGCCATGTCAATCAATAGTCCATATATTAGTAAAAAGAAAGTAGTTTTATAAAAAGTTATTTTTAAATATGCAATACATATATTTACCAGCTCTTAGCTTACGTAACAGGTTAAAGCCTAAAAGTTTGATTTAATACTTAAAATTCTGTATCAATGATTTTGTACATTTGTACAAGAACATCCCCTGCCAGCTAACTGGACGTTAGTCCATAAAATAATTCCCCGGCACACCTTAGACATTTTAGTACTAAAACATCTGAGTTTCATTAACAAAATAAAAATATTTTTTTCTATCAGAAAAACCAAAGTAAAAGCAGCTTTTGAAGTGGCCAAATTGGTGAGAGATATGCCTCATATAAAACACAGACTAAAGGGGGTGTGCCAAAGAGTAAGATGGACCATCACAAAGCTACTGCCTAAAAACAGGCCCAGGGCAGATACTATCTGCTGCCAGCCATGTAGCAGAGTCAAGAAGCAGCCCCAGAATCAGAAAGCCTCTCAGCATCATGCTGGATTTGGCTGAAGGCTTCTCTACCTAACATGGACGCAAAATCTGCCAAGTTAGCTCCTGTGATACTAGTGGAGATTAAATGGATTTGACAGAGACCCATTCTTCAGCACTTGAGATTAAATTTCAAAATAACAGTTCCTGTATTTGCATGTAACAAATACTCAGCCAGTGCCCTGTGTGTGAAGGTTACAAGGCAGCATGTCAAACTGAAGCATTAGAAAAATCAATACAGAGCAAATGAACACAAGACCACTCAGGTTTCCTGGCGGTACTGGAACGTGGAGTTCAACAGCTTTTCTGGAAACTTGGATCCCTGAGGTTTTAATGTTAACACAGTAGGTGATCTTATGGAGAAAGCCTCTCAAAACCATTTATAAAGCCACCATCACCACTAGAACTACTCTTTTAAGAATTTAATAGAAACAGAAATCTGTTTGGTTCAGACTTGTGCTTCCAGATAATTTGGCTATAATTATGGTTTCTTTCAATAGTTAAATCTGTTTGATATAGAGAAATTTTAGGATAGAAACTTGCAAAGGATTATGGGTACATGTGCTATTATACTATTTTTCCTAAACCTCACATGAGCTGTGCTCTCCTTACCGCAATTTCATCAGTCACTAAATTTACAATTGTAAGGTGAATAAAAGGAACTCAATTTGCTTGCACTTATATGAGCTGTTCTCTCCCAAAGGGTGTACAATCATAGAATATCAGGGTTGGAAGGGACCTCAGGAGGTCATCTTTATCAATCTTTAACATTGCTTGTTTTCTTCTTTGAATTTTCCACACAAAATTTTAAAGCACTAACTATTCTAAGAACTTGCTTGGCTTTGATCACTAGAAGCCCCTGTATTTAGTTATGCATGCTAAACCATGGAATAGTTTTTAAACTATGCATATGACTGACCTACAATGGAAAACTCAATACAGACATGTAAAAACTCAATACTGTGATGTGAGACTAGAGAACATGTATATCCTCTAAATTGGTTTGGTTTGTGTTTTAGTTACACACAGAAAAGACAGCAGGAGACTTCAACATTTCAAACTTGGGTGCCTCGCATTCTGGTACCTAAATAGGTAGACAGGTTTTTCAGAGGTTTTGGTGATGTAGCACCTGCTGCTCTCACTGGATGAGTTGACAGGTAGGTGTCAAAATGTGGATTTTAGTGCCTAATAAGAGGCACCCAGGTTTGAAAATGTGGGCCTGAGTGTGTAGTGCAATTGATCAGAGATAGTTTTAATACTGTGAGTAATCACAATCTATGGAATTAATGAACACCAGAAATCCCAGGCAAGTAGTTCAGCACTATTTCCCCCTCCCCCAAATGATGGCAGTCCTCATGCTCCGGAGCACAAGCTTGTCACATATGAAATATCAGGAAAGATTTTGCCCTGTTACATAACTGGCACATATTCCTACATGGGAATAAAGAGAAATAATGAATGGGTAACCTTCTGAAACAGTATTGACCATTCCTACAAGCAAGATAATTAATTGAAACGATAAATTGCACGTTCTGGTTGAGCTACTATGTTCCACACTTCAGTGAGTGAGAATGAGTGTTTCATTTGTTTGTGAGTTTGAGTTTGTGAGCATGGTCCCCTGAATGGATTGTTTTGGTTAGAATACTCCAGATAATTACCAAAGCATTGCTTGTGTTGCAGTAGGACAAGATAGATTGCATTCCCAGAAATTAGAGAACTTTTAAGCACATATCATCTCTTATCTACACGACAAGAGAGACAGTGAAATATATTAGAACCTGCCTTCAACCCCTGCCAAAATCCTCAGACAATAACTGAGTCCAGGACAGTAAATACCTCCATTTCCATCAGTGCTGATATGGGTCACTAATTAGAGGGGATATTTATTATAATGAACACCACTTTAGGCCTTCTGAGGATGTGCAGAACTCTTGGATGGTTGAGGACATGTACTGTCCATGTATTTCAGTGCAAAAGTCTTCTCTTCCCAATTCCACCCCCCTACACACACACACAGGGCAGGTGTTAGGTTCAGAATCTCTGAACTAGAACTTGGTACATTCTGGCCCATTAAATGAAAGCCCTTCATTACTGCCCCCCTGCCAGTGGGGCATAATATTTATGAAGCCCAACTATCCACAGGTACAAATTCCAAGAGGGGCCCTCATAACTCACATGCTCCTCTACTCCCTATCCATTTTACCACCCATACAATAGGTCCATCTAGATATAGGCTTGCTTTTCAACTCCTCTCCCCCCGTGCCTCAATCGCTTTGAGTTTTCTCCACTGTGCCTCTGGCCTTTTCTCATTTTCTTTTTCAAAGTGCTAAGACACATATGCTGTCAACAGGCCCGTCCTGCTGCCTACTATTGCCTTGGATAGGCTGATTCCTCCCTATGTGTTTTGCCCACAGTTGGGTGCTCTAGAGACTGGTGGCGGGAAGGGCGAACGAGCAGGCTGACTGCTAGCAGCTCTTTCAGAAGCTATCTGTCCCCACTGCAGGCAGCATCAGAAGTGGTCACAGCAGAACTAGAGATTCAGCACCTTTCCTTACCATTTAACACCTGTTCTCCCCCCCCCCCCCAGTACTGGACACCTTGGAACGGAGTGAAGGATTCAGCAGGATCCTATGGCAAGCAAAGAGCCTGAAACTTGGCCTAGTGACTAGTGTCTGAGCCAGAAAACTGAAGACCCATTGATTTATTCTTTGCAGGGGCAGAACTAAATAGGAAATTAGGGATCAACATGCAAATTTGTTCAGGGCTGGTGAGAGCAGCAGAGACTACATTACTACCCTGAGTTTTTACCTTTTTCTGTATACACCACCTTCCTCCCACCCCACCCTTCCCTCTGGGAATTTTGCTCTTTCCTGTTCAGCAGCTGCTGGGTGCTTTGTGCTAGTTCCTGGCTCTACTCCTCACTGCCCATGGCTCATAGTGCACTGTCTAGAAACAGTGACAGTTCTCAGATCCCTTTTTATTGGGGTAATCCAGAAAATTCAGACTGGCCAGGTACTCAGAGGAGGAGAGGGAGTGCTGGTGAAGAGTGGCCCCAATTTCACTTCCCCACCCCATGTGGGTCCTGTCATTTTCAGGCTTCCCATCTTTCTTAGAATAAACGTTATTGCTGCCCCCCCAAGCCACAGTGCTGCAGCTGCTAAAGGAGCACTGTAGTATTCCCTAGTTTGCACATCCCTAGAAATGGCACTAATTATGGGGCCACCATGGAGTCCCAGCTTTCAATCCCCTCTGACAGTGGGAGGATGAGGGCTCCTGCTGCAGGCTTCCCACACAGACAAGGAAGGGGGGGGGGGGAGGAGAATGAGATTCCCTAGATACCTGAAGCTGATCTTGTTGCTCCCTGGTGGTGCAGGCTTTCCTTAGAAGTCAACATAGGACCATTCACCAGCTAGGTAACAATGGAAATTGGATGTAGGAAGGAAGCCCAGAGGAAGAGAAAAACTAGGAACCACCAGCACATTCAGAGTCTGCGCTGTCCTCAGGTCATTTGAAAGGCTTATGAACCCTCCAGGCTGGAATCACTACTCTGCATATACTCTGGCTAGAGAGATTTCAAATGCAACAAGCTGGTACCAGGGAGATACTCTTAGGCACTGCTCAGGTTGCTGGTTCTCTTACTTGGAACTTTGGAAGAATCAGTGTTCATTCTCAGAACAGACATCTAAGATTGGCAGCACTGTCAGAAAATTGGAACAACCTTTAATATATAGTGAGATCTCCTGTAATGTAAAGAATTGCTCTATTCAGTTGTGAAGACAGATGGGACCAGACTTAGAGGAAGGCAATTTTTATTCTTTTTTAATGAGCAACTTGTTTGATATAAAACTAATTTTGTCTTTTGAAAAAGACCACAATCCACCAAACAGTTTTTTACTGGCATCTTCAAAACAACGCGTTTTTTTTTTACTGGCATCTTTGTAAAACAGCACGTGAACTAAGGGAATTTTAAAATGTTAATATTTCTGGACTGAGAGTGAGCTGGAACTATTGCTATTTATACATTACTGAGAATTACAAGAATTTTGATGGCTGAAATTAAAAAGGAAAAATTGCAAACTTTGTTTTTAACATTAACACTTTATTATGTTTTCTTAACAGGATTCAATATAGCAATATAAACAAGAGATAAATACAAAAGGTCATATTCTTTTCTAAATGTTCAATAGTTCAGAGTGCCACAGATTTGTGAAAAGAGCACCACAGAAAAGCAAAATCACGTATTACCATAAAAGTATTTCTTTAAATAAAATTGAGGTTACTCTAAGAGGTTTCGCTTTGTTAAGATTGTGCCGTGGAATTGTCACACCCCAAACCCTGTACATTGAGCCAATCAGTCAAGCCACGGTAATCCAGATTCCAGTGCTATGCAGTTGACAGACTGAGACTTGTTGAATTCTCTGGTCCCATGTTCACATCCTTTCGTTTCCAGGTCACATGGGGAACACCTATTTTTGCAAGAGCAGAAACTCTAGAGTGTTTTGAGAGCTTAACCAAAACAGATCATAAAACAGAGTAAACAGACTACAGAACACTTTTTGAAAGCTTTAAAGTTTAAAAGGACTTTAAGAAGAAAAAACCAAACCCTAGGTAGGTGTCTTTTTAGGCTCTCCTCACTTGGCACAAGAAACAAGTGTGATCTAAATTCAGGACCTAGTCTGTTTTCCACATGTAAGAGGCCGGCTCCATACCCTAAATAAGCCACAGGGGCTCTCCTTTGACCATGGCAGCTTTTAAAGTCACATCAGCACTATCCCTTGATTGGCCTGGAGGGACTGCAGCTGATTGACAGAAGGCATGCTCACCCACCATGAAATTAATCCCCTGCATCTGCAGCATTTCTGACCCCTGCTAGGTTAGAGACCCAAGAGCAAACCTGGGCTTCAAACTCTGGTGTCCAGCACCACAGAGCTTTGTGTTACCACTGGGCTATCATGCTGGTGCCACAGAGTTATTTGCATTGCATAAATCATTTGTTAAATGTCATCAGCTTCACAAGAGGGAAATCCAAAGCCAGTGCCCACTATTTGGGAAGTATAAATGGAATACATTTAGAAGCTGCACTAGGTGGTCAAGGCTCGCTGAATAATTCTGTTTTGATCTATAGTACAATCTTTTTTCCACTCCCACTGCTATGATGTAGGTTTGAGCCGGGTTATTAAAATAAACATTAAAGAAAAAGGCTGCACCGCATTCTAAGAGAAAGTATGGCACTGAGCTCTAGAATACTGTATTGAGGTTAAAGCTATAATGCTATTGAATAAGACAACTGGATACAGATAAAAATTTCTAGCATTTTATAAAAAGTTACTAAAAACCATTTTGTGATCCTGTCATTTTAACTTGTTTCCTTAGTAGATATTTTAAGAATGCAGTTTTAAAAATCAAGTTTTGTATAGTGTTGTTGTACAACCAGCCACAGCAGTTCATTATGTTGTATGCTTCAGGCTACATGACATCTTGCTAAGTACTGTGCAATGTGTAAGTGTGATATTTTCACCCAGCATATTCCACTTTGACAGACAACCATTTGCCTATAGTTAAATTTGATTACTGAGTACACATTCCTTTTCATGTCTTGTGGATTCACTACATCTAACTGTTGCCAGTTACAAAATGCCATTCATTTTCAGGACCCAAAACTCTCAATGATAATGCTTCATCAGAAACAGATAAATTAACAATTGATCTTCCATTCTATCCTCAGATTACTGAAAGCCTTTGATCCACGTAACAGGCTAGAGTAAGAATTTGGAATTAGATGGCACCTTTAATATGCTATGTGTCCCAACTTGCTTTATAAGCAACTAGGGGATGGTAAGGTATTCCAGTGATTTGTCAGGTAAAGCAGCAGATGTTACGTGCTCACCAGTGAAATTCACATTTCCCTCATCCACACTTGAGAAAGACCATTAGCTAGGACACCAGCTCACTACTCTTTTCGAAGAACTGCAGTGGTATCTTTTGCCTCCCTCCTGGCTGTGCAGGTATAAGATGGAGACCCTGGGTTTGAGATTTTTCCCCCAAAGGATGGAACCTCGCTCTCCTAAGTAGCCTGTTGTTGGATCACCATTAAGTGTTTGAGGCCAAACTTCATTGAGAAACTGAACATAACCACTGGCCTGGAAGACAGAATGCTTTCTGCTGAATTGTATTACACCAGCACAGACAGAGATGCACAGATTCATTGCAAGACTGGAGACATGGAAATCCCAAGGTCTGACAACTGGCTGACACTTCCTTCTTTTTTCTAATGTGGAAGCTGATGTTACTCAGCTTCCTCCTCCCCACCTCTGTTGATAAAAGAAGAAAAATACCTACCTCTAAAAAGGTATTAGAAGGAGCACTTAATATTTGTAAGATGCTAAATATGGTCATAAAATTATCTTACTGTTGGTCTGTCGGAGAGGTTTCCTTGTCGGATATATTCTATAGCAGCCTCAGCAGAGGTCAGGCAGTATCCCAGTTCATCCTTTGCTGAACTGCAAAACCTGAAGTTTTTGATGTAACTCAAATTTGCCATCCTAAAGTAAAGAAAAAACACTAATCCTTAAGGATTCATGAAGGTGTGGGGTAGAGGGGCTTATTTTTAATATTGCTGTTCAGTCTATTCAGAGAGGGGAAAGAAGTGGATGGAACTAGAAGTCAGTTCACATTCTCTCATCACAAGGAGCTAGCAGCCATATTTACAGACCCCTGAGCTTGTTCTGAGCCCTAGGAAGGAAGACAAAGGAAACTTATGCCAAGAACCCCATGAGGGATGTGACCCACAATGAGAATCTCTAATATTTCACTTCCTTTTCATATAAAACTACATTATGTTTTGGGTTATTTTAGTATTTGTTTGAAACGGAGAAGAAAGGGGAGAATGGAAAAGGCTGAACCAATTGTCCAGCAAGGGGAGAGAAGATCTTACATACAGAATGACCTTAAACTGCTGGATGAAAGAATGAAGAGTTATGCAAAATATGGATACATTTAGCATTCAGTATGGACACACCTTCCAGGATTGTGAGGCGGTGCTAAATTTTATGGTACTTGAAAACATAAGCACTTCATTAATTTTAGATGCCTTTTTTACAAAGGAAAAAAAAAACCTGTGAAAAGCTACATCCAAGATTGCAATGCTAATGCAACTGTTACATTGCAAGTACATCTAAATGCATGATTCATGCCTTTATGGATACTGGAATTCGACATTAATAGTATGTTAGATATTATCAGTAAATAGTTAAGTTAATTTCAGCAACATTCTAGTTACATTATCCCTCAGGACATTGATTAATCTCCAGGTGTTCCACACCTTTGAATGTCAAGTTCCCCAGGAGCTAAACTGGGAATTGAGGATTGGTTCCTGGCTGCTTTGAGACAGACGAAGTCAGGAATTTTGGTATGAAATAGGTCACATCAAGAAGTCCGGAAGGGGAAAAAAAACAAGCAGCATTTAATGTGTGATGGAAGAGCTATAAAAAGGAGAGGGAAAAGGAGGGTTTACAGCTCTTTCCCTAGGGACCGGAGATAAGCAAAGTTCCTTTTTATTGCTGAGTGTTAAAGATTCCTTCAAACCTATTTAAGAATTTTTTTTAAAAAGTAGTTTATAACAAACAGCAAGCTTGTCTTGTAGAGCTAGCTGTTTCTAGAAGCATCTATATTTATTTATGCAGCAACATTATGTACAAGTTACAGATCTGTTTGTACAGTAAAAAAAGTTACATACCAGTTAGGAATCTCCGTTTTTACAAGCAGATACAGCAAAACGGAGAGAAGATCATCTGCACACATGGTCTCCATGTTAACTGAAGGAAATAAGAGTTTATAATAGGAAAACCTTTAACATAAGCTACAATAGGCCAAAGACAAGAGCCAGGACTGAATGCGGATTTTAATAATTAAACTTTTTGAAACTCATTTCAGATAGAAAGGTTACTTATTCAGTATTTTCTACAGATATACTCAACAGGACCCACCCAACAGACCATGCACCCTCTAGATGACCCAAGTAGGCCAGCCTATTCAAGAAGTGTCAACCTATGGTAGAGTGCAAAAATACCCTGGAGTCACCTCTGCCAAACGCTTCCCTCACAATAAGTAAAGGAGTTTCTACGACTCTAGGGCTTAAATAATTACTCCCCCCAAAACCACGCATAGCCCTACAACGGACAGCCTCACAGCCAATGAGCCTTCCTTTAAAATGTTCAAATAATAAATAACTTTGTGATGGGGAGGAGAGGAGAGGCATGGACTGTGGAGAACTACTGCCCCCTTTTCACTTGGGGAGTTACTTACTTCAGTCCCATTAAACAGTTTGGTGTGACTATACCAACACTCAATATCTGACTTCAAGAGGGTCAGGTTTCATTTGAGGGAACTTAATTTTACATCTTCAATGAATTAACAAAAGGTATCATGCAATAATGGGAATAAACATTTATCTTCCACGATTGTTCCACAGTTTTATTCTATTTAAGTTTTGTAAAGAAAGTCTCAATCAACTTAACATCCTTTGGGTGTCAGTGTATTTACAAGATTATGGTGGATGGCAAGGCAAATGTCAGAGTGTTGTAGCAACTCAACAGCGCTACAATGAATCACTCAACTCCTTGAAGAAAAATATTCTCTGCATCAGAAAGAAATCAACATTAGGCTTTTTCTCTGCTGAGGTATCAATGCAAGACAAGTATTTCCCACCCACAATAACTATTACAGGATGTTTATGCCCAAGGTAAGTATACTACTTCAAGGGTCTGTTTTGCCTAGGGTGACCAGATAGCAAGTGTGAAAAAAATATCGGGACAGGGGATGGGGGCGGGTAATAGGCACCTACATAAAAGACAAAGCCCCAAATATCAGGACTGTCCTGATTTTTATAGGGACATCTGGTCACCCTAGTTTTACCTGTTGTACTTAATATTCTGCAAGCCAGACCCTTAGTATTCTGTTTGAACATGAATTCTTCCATATATATAAAAATAATGCATATAAAGTTATAGTGTATGTAAAGTACTTTCAAGATGAAAAGTGCCACATATTAAAATTAAATTACCAGTTCATTGCTTTGAATACCAACCTCTTTGGCTAGGAGACTGCATAATAATTTCCACCACTTTTCGAAGACAGATCAGCTTCTGTTGTGGGGAGGTACATTTATTCAGCTGACCCAATTCTCGCTTTGCACGTGGAATATTAAAGCTATAAAATATTTTTGAAAGATAAAAGCCTTAGTATACAACCCAGATTTATGAGCTGTACTAATTAAGTATGCTTGTGCAATTGTTCAAATTTCAGGCAATAACATGAATTAAAGCCCAAAAGGGTGTGCACACTTCTGCACACCCATGGAATCAGGGAGATCTGCATGTTTGAACAAAAGGTGGGACTTCTTGTTCCAAATGTTGTTAAGCACATAGGCGCCGACTCCATGGGTGCTCCAAGGCTGGAGCACCCACAGAAAAGAAAAAAGTGGGTACTCAGCACCCGCCGGCAGCCCCCCAATCAGCTCCTCCCCCAGCACCTCCCACGCACCAGCGCCTCCCCCTCCCTCCAGCCTTCCCACCCACTGGCAGCCCTGCCGATCAGTGCCTCCTGGTGATCAGCTGTTCAGCAGCATGCAGGAGGCGCTGGGGGCAGGAAGAGGAGGAGCGACAGGGGTGGGGCACAGCAGAGATCGAGCACCCCTGGCACATTAGAAAGCCAACGCCTCTGAAAGCAAAATTAAAAAATGGAGAGAAGTTTTAAGATACTGGAAGCAATGAAGAATTAAGACAACATCAATGAGGCAGCTAACCCAAGCTTGCGCCCTCAAACCCTTTACTTTTCTATCTTTTGGAGAAGTGAGAACATTGCAGAGGCTAGTACAGAAAGAAATGGACTTCCCTCCCCTGGAGCAGTGAGCAGATTTGGGGGAGAGCTGCTTTTTGCCTGACCTGAGACCTACTTAACTTTAATCCATTCCTGATGGAGTCATTTAGAAGCCCCTCATCATGCAACTCTCACCTGAATTCAGGCTTAACTCCAATATCTTTTTGCTGGAGATCTTGGAGGCTTCTTGTAATTTTGTTAAAGGCTGCATCCTAAGCAGTGAATAAAACACAACATTTTTAGACAAACTTTTGTACAGCTTCTATCAGTCTTGCATGGATTAATTATATTAAGCAAAAAAACCCACACAATCTTACCTCACTTGCCTCAATAGTTCCCACATATTTAAAGATCAGATCATAAATATCATGATGCACATACATCTGGGGAACAAACACCAGAGTTTAGGAAGGAAAAGGAAAGAAGAGATAAAAATAACTCATTGATGTTTTTGCCCAGCCTCAGAAACTTACTTCAACTGCTTGTTTCATCAGATTCATCTGATGTTCCTGCTTTGCAAGCATCCTCTGAAAGATATGGGAATTTATGCACTGAGTTAAACACATTGTCTAAACAATAGGCAGCTATTTTCACCGTACAGATTTACTGAAGTAATGCTTACCAAGTGAGAATCCCTCAATAAATGCTGGAGGCATTTGGTGTAAAGCGCATTAACAGAATCCTAAAAAATCAAGACATGAGATTTTTAAAAAGTCACTATGTTACTTAAATATGAGCAATGCAATGCTAGAACTCAGACAAATCCTGATCATCTTATTCAGGCAAGTAGTCCCATTCAATTAGTAGGACTTACTGAAGTGCGGAGACAAGCAGGATTTGATTTTTTTTTTATTACGAAAAAAAATAAAGCAAACTACCATAATCCTTTATGACTAAATACCCCACATTTTCACAATTCTATTTACAAAATATTTTGTTACATGGAAAGCTTTAATAAAATAAATTCAAATAGTGAATTACCTAGATACACACATTTAGGTCAAAATTCTAGGTTATCAAAGGTTAAAAATGAGATACTGACTATGTAATGTCGTAGGCTTTTTCTTTCATGTTCTTTAAAAGTCCTATGGAAAGATGCAATGTGTTTGTCAAATCTTTCAGAATGTCTTCCCAAAAAATCTTTCACATCCTCAATGTTTTTCAGGGAATAAGAATTTGATGGGGTTTTAAATTCTTCTGTAATGAAAGCTAGCAGTTAGTGCACCACAAAACATCCAGGTTCTTTTTCCATCTCTATTGCAGATCCCATTTATCTAGGCAACTTAACCACCACCTACAGCCAAAGCAAGCTCTGACATAAGCAAGCTCAGCTCTCATTTCCTCCAAACCAGACCTTTAACCTTGCAGTTTTCTACTGCTCTTCTGAAGGTGCAGTAAATAACCGGACCAAAAAAAAAAACCCAACAAAACAAAAACCCAGCACTCCTTTATAAAGAAGTTATTTTCAGAAGCCAGATTAAGGTTTATGGTTTGATTCCATACAGGATTAACTCAGACTCATTTCAACTTATTGTTCAAATCCAAATTTAAAACACTTCCCTCTTAGTTATTAATTCACTTTCCCTAATGTCAGTTTCATGTATAGAGTTTACCAGACCCTCTGCAAGACAAAATGTCAAAGTAAACTATATTTAGTCTTTTAGGGACATTAGAAGTTTCAGTTTTGCTTTTAAATTTTATTTTACCTTCTGTGAGCAGCGACGACTTGCCAAAATTCTGCAAAAGACTACATATACTGCTTTAAAGCAGTTACTCGGGCAATATCTCCCTAATCTCACCTACAGTATCTCCAACCCAGAGCAGGAAAGTGTTGTTACTCAGATCCATGTCAAATGCAGCCAGTTTAAGAAGCAAGAATTAAAAATTCTAATACTAAAGTCAGACATCACCAAAAGAAAAGCTGCTACAAAAAATAGTTAGACAACTTTTAAAGACGGCAACTGATCACATCATAAAGTTTACCCTAACCTCAAGATCTCAGTAGAAAGGGGCAACACCATTAATAAGTGATACAAGTACTAGTTTTAAACAGAGTCAAGACAAACTGCCAGATAATGACCTACCTGAAATTCTAATTCCATGTTGCATTAAAAACAAGCATTTCACAGAGCTGACTTTTAATTTAAATTCAGGCCATTTAAAAATATAATTTTATTAAGTCTTTGCTATATAAACCTTGGCCACTATTTTTTTTTTTTAAGTCTGCCTCTTTCCTACCTATACTATCAACAGCGATAGCATGCCAACTAAAAAAAATCCTGAGTTTTCAATCCAAAGTACTGCTTTGTAAGACAAACCTAAAATTATACTGAACCCTATACAAATAGAGGACTGCCTTGTTGCACACCAAAGCAGACCCACTGTTCGTATTTTCCCAGCATTTCTGTACGCACCTAAGATTTCAGATTCTTCCAGGGGATGAGCTATACACAATAAGCTAAAACTTTCTTCTTTTTCATTGTAGAATGTTTCCTCAAAGAGAACAGGTACTGAGAGATGATGATTAAAACCAGTTCCTAAAATAATCAAATTTCTCTGGATAAAGATTTCCTGAAATTAAAAAGAAGTCATAATATTGAGCAGAAAAACAGAAAGTTGACAATTGTAATACATAGTTCTGTATACTAGGAAAAGAAGGGGGTATCCTTGTAAGACCAAAAAAACCACCATTAAAAAAGTCTTTTGGGGGGAGGGGGGTCAGAGACCCTTTCATATTCTTGTTGCTTCAACAAGTCAGTGCTGCAGGGAGTGATTTTTTTTTATTTTTTAAATCCACATTCATAATCTTGGATGATCTTGTGTCTCCCCTCCGTCCCCAGTTTGTTCTCCACTGCATCATTTGTTGAAAGAAAATTCTGAATCTTGAACAAATGTGTCTGAAGTTGGTAGGTGCCCAAGTTTTTAAGTTACTCTACTTGAGACACCTTAAAAGGGCTCAATTTTCAGAAAATGCCAAGTACCCATCTTCTGATAAGTCATGACCCTTTAAAAGGTGCCTTGAGTTGGGCACCCAAAAATCACTAGCCATGTTTATTTAATAATTAAAACATCATGTTTTTCCACATTCACCCTTAGCATTTTTTTTTTAAAAGAACTTTTGAAATGCTTTAGGTGCACTGAAACTTGTTTTATGGGCATTACGGACAAAGAACATGCATTTAAACAAGAATTCTGAACTTCTTTATTTCAAACTGCACTGGAAAAAACAATGCCATGCTAACGGATACTAGCATACTATATGGCAGGACTCCTCATTTATAGCAATTAGCATGACTATCCTTTTTAATACATCTTTTACTTTGTAACATTAAATCACAAGAATACACAAACTGAGTCAGAAACAGAGTGTGAGGTGACAGCAATTTATAACTTAAGAAAAAAAGTCTTTGAGACACTGTGCCATCCTCTTCTGGATAAACATCCCCCTGACTGTCTGTACAAGTACAGACAGAGTACAAGCACAGAACTCAACCCAAACATGCAAACAAACTCAAACAAAATATGCAAAGTTCTCATGGACAGAACAGACAGTCCATCTGAGTTTGTCCTACTAATTAGCTCTACGAATAAATACAAATACTTTGCACAAATGCAGTGATGTTAATTTGAAGCTGTATCTCCATTTCCCCTTCTGTAAAATGAGTTTGGAAGTAGCAGAATCAGGAACAGAGACCAGACCTCCAGTTACTTGCTCTAATCATCAGATAGTACTGTCTCAAACACTGCCTACCCTGGGATCACTTGAAATTTGGTTTCTCCCCTTTCCCTCTTGTCTATCATGTTCCCAGGCAGGACCCCTCCACCAGATCTGTATTAACAAAGGAATACCTTTCCATTTAAGGTCTGAAATTTTTCTTCCACTGGTTTTAGAACATAGGAATCAAATTGGCAGGTAGAGAGACTGCTGCTTGAAAGGCTCCCTTTGCACGGTACTAATATCTGGAGAAAGAATAAAATCAGTCAATCGCATGCCTTTGTAGGAGGAAATTCAGTGTGCCATCTGCTTCCAAATCAAACAACCTTTGTTCTGTGTTCCTCATCAAGCACTCTTCATATCAGACTTGTAACAACGTTTGACAGTGCGTGTCTACAATTTACTTATCTTTTTAAAGGAACAGAGCCCGTAACCAAGATTCCCGCTCAACATCTCAGATCACACACACACACACACACACACACACACCCCTTTTCTAATTAGCTGCAAGAGATAGGAGATGATCAGAGCATAGATTCTAAGTATAGCAAGCTGGGGACAATCAGAGCACGCTGTACCCAAAAGGAAAGGCAAAAAGCAACACCTCTAGCAAGACCCCCAGTCGTATAGATATAGATCTTATATTGCTGACATTTTTACACTAAATTAAAAACCAAGACTAAGCAGCTTAAAGTGTTCATTAAGGTATTTTCCTAGACCAAGTGAAAGACCACCAGAAAAGGAACAAAACATGCATAGTGGGACCTCCTCCCATTAACAGGTTAGTGGAGCCTTTAAAGCAGTGGTTCTCAGACAGGGTTCTGGGTAGGCCACAAGCAGGTTTCGCGGTCTGCCAAAATAAACTGAAGAGCTGGGCTGGCATTAGATTAGCTGGGGCCCAGGGCAGAAAGCCAAAGCAATTTAGCTTTGTGGGGTCCCCTGTGGTGTGGGGCTCTAGGCAATTTCCCTGGTTGCTATCCTGAACCCTGGCCCTGGTTTTTAATCTACTGGATACGCAGAAAAAACAAACAGGTATAGCACACGTGGGCCATGGAGTTTTTGTAGCATGTTTGCGGGGGAGGGGCCCTCAGAGAGAAAAAGGTTGAGAAACGCTGCTGGAGAGTGAATTATGGAATCAACAGGTGAACATTAATAGTACTGAACTATACAATCATTTGAAATGAAGTACAGTCTGTTTTCAGCTTGCGTGAGCATTTAGTGCTCATGGAAGGTGCCAGATTGATGTTCCTGGGAGCAGTCAATCCAGCACCAGATTCTTCATTCACAGGATACAGCACGGCGATATTGCCAAGCTTCCCTCCCGCAGGCTGCCCAGTCATTGTGCCTCAACCCTGACCTGGAAGAAACATATTTTAAAAACTAGCCTCTTATCCATCACCTTGCTAATTCAATCTTCTACATCTCTGCCAGTTTGTACTCTCTGCGGTGGATTCATGATGCAAACATACATACAGTGCCGGTGCTTACCCCGAAGCAGGAATATTCCCCCCCTCCCAATCCCCAATACTAAAACAGGCATGTTCTTACAATTAAAAAAAGTGAATGGGAGGCCCTCTTGAGCTGCTTAAGGCCCTAAGCAATTGCTTAGTCTGCTTATGCCTAACGCTGGCTCTACAAACAATTACTGGGAGTGGACTGAGGCCACTAAACCGAAGCGTGGTGAAATGTTAACAGCCGTGACTTGCAGTTGCTATTATCCTCACCAGGATTTGAGCTGTCTGAAAAGGTTTTAAAAAGGAAGAAAAGTCTGCCCCCTTTGCAATCAATCACAGTACAGGGGTCGACTGGAGAGCGATCTTCTGTCCATTTGGCAGGTCTTCACTAGACCCGCTAAATTGACTGCCGGTGGATCGATCTCAGAGCCTGGATTTGGGCTGTAGTGTAGCCTTAGCCTTAGAGAACTCTTCCTACACAACACTGATATCTACCCTTCCCTACCTCCCACCCCCGCTGCCAACCACCTCAACAGCAACAAGGAAGTTATATATTCTCACCTCCAAATGTGCTTAGCTACTGCAACTCAGATGAGTCAGTCAAACACTAAGAAACCAATTTACTCAGTCATACAGAGAAGGAAAGAAAAAAGAAGAATTCAGTATTTCAACAACTACTTCAAACAGCTAGACTTTAAAACAGAAGTAGCACAGCAGGATTCTGAACAGCCCTAGAACTAAAAGTTGAAAAGAAGAATTCAGAGAAGAATAGGAAGTGGGGCTGTAACTACCTCTAAGAGCTAGTCTGCACAGCTCTTAAAGCAGAGCCTTTCACAAATCTAATACTCCTTTCTAAAACATTTTCACTCTTCTCTGTCTGTATCAGCTATGCATTTAGAAAAATGCCACACACAATGGAGGGACAACTTAAAAACACTGGGATCACACCAGTTTCTACATTTAAAAGCAGCACTTCAACAAACTAGCTAAATGCTGTTATTTTAGTGAGCAATTCAGAGCATCTAATTGAAATTAACAAGCATCTCACTCGGCATTACCTCCTGAAAACTAAATGCTAATCTAGCACAGGCCAATATTTCTCTCCAGTAGAACAGTTATACTAATGAGGTAGCAGTACCATTCTTTCTTGCATTCCCAAGTCACTGCCATTTGGATGCTTGCCACACAAAAGGTCAAAACCACCAGAGAGCGAGGAAAGGTAGTCTTAAAAGGAACCAGAGCAAATGGCATATTAGCTCATATATACAAATTTGCCTTCCTACCATTAAAACTACCTGGTGAGTATTTTGAGCCCCTATTCTTCCATCAAGAAACTAATTTAAACTGGTAATATACATGCCTAAGTTTTCAAATAAAAGATATTGTCACAAAGTACAACATTGTCTATTCCTGCTGTTCTCTGGAACAGGAGAAATTGTAATTTTTTGCACTAACTAAAACCCTTTCAGTATTTAAAGATACTTTTTACAGAAGCACTTCTACTCTTCAGATAAGAGCACTCTCTGGAAATATTAACACTGCTCACAGAAAAAAAAATGCTTTTATTCTGGAGGCACAAAAAGCAATACCATTAGCAGCAGCAGAATCACCTCCATAAAGAGATCAGACCTAAGATGAACAAAGCAGCAGCAGGTACCATGAATCTTGACAAGTGTAAGTTCTGCAAATATTTACATTTCTAACAGCATCACTGCAGTTTCAGACATTCACAAAGCACTCTAAACAATGTCCACTTCTCTACATTCCTTTGGCATGTAATTTAAAATAAATAAAGCATACCCTATTGCCTCTTATTTATTTCTTAACAAGCAGAAGATATTACTGAATTAAAAGTATGGTAAATTTTAAAAGGAAAAAAAAAGTGCTTTTTCATTTTGTCCTGCCAACATTTAAAAGTTTAAATGGAGCAGTTTATAGAAACTTAACAGGCACAGTGTCAAAACAACATTTTACAGTTAAAGCCTGTTCCAACAATACTGTCCAATGTCCTCCTACACTAGTCGTAAAAAAATGGATACTGCACAGGCCCACTTGTGTATGTAGACAGGGTTAGAGTTTAAATTATTAATACTGATTTAGGACACAGCCTGTGTAAAAATCAGATTTCTGCCTCTCCCCCAATTTCCACCAAAAAAACAGTTGTAAGAACTTATTGTTTTCACACGCAACATTTCCCCTCAAATCCCCTGAAAGTGGCAACCCCAATATTTCAGTTTTCTTGCTCCATGTATTCCACATACTGCAGGTCACTTACACACATGTTCAACAAATAGTTAAGTTTCTGAACTCTGAATACCGCTCACAGCAGAAATGATTTGACACTTACATTTAAAAAAAAAAAAAGTAGGAAAAAAAGCTATCAGGGCTTTCTCTAAGATTAAGATAAATAGGCTGACTAATTTTTCCCATGCCATTGCTAATGGATGATCCAAAAGCCCAAAAATAAGTGAGGTTATTTAACCGAATAAAACACTTTCGTAGGCTTTGCAATTAGAGCTCATCCTCTAAGATTCTATGTAGCTAATAAAAATAGAAACCAAGATCATTTAGAAATATTGTCCAGATTGCTGTAGAAAGCAGTAAATTAGCCTTGCAAGCAAGGATTACTCAAACTGTGTTTATGCTAGGATGTTTCCCCTACCTGGGAACTAGCACAGACAGAGGCCCAGGAACCAGTGGTTAGTTCCCCTCTCACCCTCAAATTAAGTGCTGTTTTGTCTAGACCTGCTTTAAAGAGGGTATAAACACCAAAGCACTTAAAACACCTTCAGCTGCTGGTGCTTCATTTACATTAGCACTCATCAATGGAACTGCATCACTGTTAGCAACACTTGGAAGTTCTAAAGAAAAACCCTAGCATTGACAAGGCTATGCAGAAACTACTGAGCAAATACATTTGCATCCTAGGGCTAGGCACTTGAAAAATAAACAATATACAGCTTATATAGCATCCTCCATAGGAGTCATAGGTCACTACCTCTCATCTAATTTTATTAACACTTTAAAAGCAGGAATAAATTGGGTTTTTCTTAATTGATGTTTTAATGCCAGACCAGATTTGGGCATACTGATTTACAATATAAAAACATAATTGCAAAAATGCTTCGGTTCCCAGTCTCTCAAGGTCATAATTATGACAAACAGTACTAGATATACAAGTTATTCAGACCAGCAAGGAAAACAAGACTTGATAAGAAGATGGATCTTTATTTATCGGAACTCCAGTACAGACAGCCTTTCAGTAGTGCAGTCAACAGCCACCTGGAGTCTATAAAACTGAACACAAACAATAGTGGCATGATATTCATAGCCTCATGTCACATAAAATAAAGTAGCTTGTTGGTCAAAGGACCATTATTTTCTTCCCTTACAAGCCAGGAACTTCAATATGTTCATGAACACAAGAGTGCCAATCCCATATTTAAAAAAAAAAAATGCATTTATATTTTGGGTCTTGCTATGAACCATCATTGTAAGAATCCCCCTAGAGGATGGAAGCCCATATATTTCATCTACTACCTCATGCATTCCCTCATGTATATATTAAAAGAAAAAGAATGTAATATACTTTATGTATCTCAGTTTTGATCTAGTTTGTTGGCTCTCTCTCACCCCTTCCTAAACTTCAGTGAGAATCTGAGAGATTTTATTGCTTCTGTACGTAGTCAGTCAATTTAAAACAAGCTCTTTACTTACAATACCATGGAATTCTGCAACTTTCCTGCAAAGGTCAGGACGACGTTTCTGAATAGCCAAATAAAAAGGATTTTTCAAGAGATCTTCATCATACATAGCCATATGGATGTCAGAGATTCCAAAGGTATTTTCTAGAAGAGATACAAGTGTTAATATTACAGAAGTTAAAAACATATTTTATTGTTTAGTTTTCATATTTAGATTCAACAACATTTGGGAATATAGAAGATGATTTTTTGTATGCTTCCTTTCATGTTTTAGAAGTATAATAAACTCTCCTCCTTGTCTCACATCAAGATACAAAATATGTGGAGCTAACTTTAACATAGAGTGACTGATACAGAACCATGGAACTTCAGGCAAAATTAGTCTTCATAACCAAGCATTTCCTATTACTATTATCCCTCCCCAGTTCTTCCAACTGTTTACGCCCACGTGTGTGTTAAGTTAGACTTTATGCTACTGGGACAGAGACCATCTCGTCTCATAAAATCTGACCACTACCTGTTTGGGGCCTGAATGCTGCTATAATTATAAATAGATGATTTCAAACAACCCAATCTAATCAATTTCAAGAAAAATTATAAAGAGTTACTGCAGTATGCTATCCGAAAAACAAAACAAAAAAAAACGCATTAACCTTTAAAACATTCATTACTACAGTAAACTTGTGTACCAAAAACAAACCCTGCTAAGATAACACAACCACTTTTACCATTATTCTTTGTACATACATTATAATCTGTCTGGTTATGTGATGCTGACATTCTTGTTTATTTTAGAAACATGGACATACACACAGGCAACATGAGTATTCTGTACACAGACACCAATGTAAATTGCACAATACACATTACACTATCCTCAGCTATCAAGGGGGAAAGTCAATTAAGGAAAACAATTTCCATTATATGAAATAGTGCATCTATTATGAACCAATCAAATATTAAAATGAGGCACACAACCAAGAAGTTCTGGATACAGTTGTCTATGTGAGTGTTTCTCAAGCTTTTTGATACCAGTGACCAGCTTGCTGCCTTTCCTAAACTGTCAGGGAAATCTCAGGAACCCGCATGGGTCCATGGACTGGTTGTTGAGAAACACTGGTCTATGTCATCTCTTTTAGAAATTAGCCAAAAACTAATTCCTACTTTCAAGCCTGCCTTTCTCCCTATGAATATGGACTAAGGGTGCTCTGAGACAGCCACCACTAACAATTATTACAACTAATTTAGTGTCCCATTCTACCACACTTACTCACTCTGAGGAATACCTTACCTCCAGAAGTAATCCCATTGATTCAAGGTGGAAGAATTGGGCCCAGAGAGTCTAAAAACATATTTTACCTGATCCGTCATTAATACATTTGTGAACCAATCCTAACGAATTCAGGTTTTATAACATTCAGTTTGTCTATGAGCTCATGTCTGATGGAAGAAGTCTGAAATACAGTATGCTTTTGGTAAAAATAAAAAGGTCCTTATTATAAAACTGAACTAAATGCATGAAATAAAATTCTTGGTTTCTAAAGCTGCAAAAACCCCATGCGAGTTATGGCTTCCTAGGTTCTAATTCTCAACAGAAGTTCTACAGTACACGTTTCACAAACGTGAGGTTCAGTGACTCATAATGGGATGCCTCTGGAATGACTTCAGAATTTTTACTTTACTTAGAAGATGGAAAGGAGGTCAGTCAAGATTACAAGTGCCTGGGACATAAATTCCTAATGTATTAGATTCTTCCAATCTATTCCTCCCCCCACTACCCTTTATCCTTTACACAGAACTACTACTGTAGCAGAGGAAACTATGCGTTACCTAGGGAGGTGGTAGAATCTCCTTCCTTAGAGGTTTTTAAGGTCAGGCTTGACAAAGCCCTGGCTGGGATGATTTAACTGGGAATTGGTCCTGCTTTGAGCAGGGGGTTGGACTAGATGACCTTCTGAGGTCCCTTCCAACCCTGATATTCTATGATTCTATGCTACAAGATACCCTTTTATCAATGCTCTCAACCAAAACTTGCATTCAATAGTATACGCAAAAAGAAAAGGAGTACTTGTGGCACCTTAGAGACTAACCAATTTATTTGAGCATAAGCTTTCGTGAGCTACAGCTCACTTCATCGGATGCATACTGGGGAAACTGCAGAAGACATTATATACACAGAGACCATGAAACAATACCTCCTCCCACCCCACTCTCCTGCTGGTAATAGCTTATCTAAAGTGATCACTCTCCTTACAATGTGTATGATAATCAAGTTGGGCCATTTCCAGCACAAATCTAGGTTTTCTCACCCTCCGCGCGCCCTCCCCCCCACACACGTGGTCACTTTGGATGGGCTATTACCAGCAGGAGAGTGAGTTGGGGGGGGGGGGCGCGGAGGGTGAGAACCTGGATTTGTGCTGGAAATGGCCCACCTTGATTATCATACACATTGTAAAGAGAGTGGTCAGTTTGGATGAGCTATTACGTCCTCTCACCCCACTCTCCTGCTGGTATTGTTTCATGGTCTCTGTGTATATAATGTCTTCTGCAGTTTCCACAGTATGCATCCGATGAAGTGAGCTGTAGCTCACGAAAGCTTATGCTCAAATAAATTGGTTCGTCTCTAAGGTGCCACAAGTACTCCTTTTCTTTTTGCGAATACAGACTAGCACAGCTGTTACTCTGAAACCATTCAATAGTATGTCGTCTTGGCAAGTCTACACAATCCCCTTTGCAGAAGGTAACAGAAGTTTGTAATGGGATCCCCAAGTTCAAAAGAGGCTAGACTTAAGACCAATAGTTCACTCAAAAGAGGAACTCAACTTGGAATCTGGGCACTATCCACAATATTTAAAAGATATTTTTGTTTTAGAGGAGCTTTCCTAACTTTAGCACATTAATTTCCCTAAAAATATAAGGGTCATTCACTCACCCTTTTCAATTTGACAGAGGTCATTTGGGGAAATGCATTTAGATGCATCAGACAAACATCAGGACAGTTTGAAGAGCTCTACCCATCTACAACTGAACTATATCAGATATCTTTAGAAACTGTTCCAGCTGTTTCTATCACTGTTCACAAGGCCACAGAGAAAAATAGCAACATGACCCATGATAAAATTTAAGTTATTATGGCCAGAGCTTTCGAGTTTTGCAAACTGTCAGAGCATCTAACATGACAGTTACATTAGTCCTGTCACCTCCAATTGTTCATTACACACTTGTTTCTCCCTGTCTCAAGTTAGAATGTAAGCTCTTTGGTGCAGAGACAATATCTTACGTGTTTGTACAGTCTGACTGGAGCTTATAAGCACTACTGGTTATAACAGGGTATGTCAGAGGCACTCTATAAAGAGGATGTCTATTTTACCACCTATTTTGGAATCAGTTTTTCCTATTTCCAATAAAAAAGTAGTACATAGTCATGAAAAAAAATTTCTAGTACAGTACTGTATACACCATGAAGCAAAAACACAATGGCACTATTCACTTAGTGTAGGAGGATAAAGGGTAAGATATTTATTCTAATTATTTCTATATGTACAGCATACAACAGGTCACTTATTGCTCCAGGTACTCTTTCAAGAGCCTTTAGATTTGAATTCTGCTATCCCAATGTATCTGCCCTCTTTCTCCCCCATCAAACATTTTCTTCATTACATGCAGTTGCAGTTTTAACATATTGTGTTTTAATAAAATGCTAGATATTCTCTCATACTTTCACACTGTTCATATTAGTGAGCTGTGAAATATTCCCCCTCTGCATTTCTTGGTTGTATGCCATGCTGGCAGAAGGGCAATGCCTCTTTCCTTGAGGCTCCCTTGGGTCCAGGAAGTGCATGTAACAGAAAGATGTGAGTTTCCAAAACAGATAGTGTAACTGGAGGCTAAGAGGCAGCTACACGATGCATCAGATGTAGCCTTATGATCCTATACCAGACTGAGAGCTCCCCCTATTCTAGGAAGAGTTAGTAGTGCAGCCTATAGCGAAGGCTGCCTGATACTTTGCATTGCAAGACCCCCTTTTCAGTTGCTTATAACTTTGCCAAAGGATAACCACTCAGGCTGAATTTTTCAATGCTGGGTATCTGCCTTGGGCTGAACTCCTTCAAAAAGCTTCAGCTAAAATAGTTCAGCTGTTCCCAAAAATTAGATTAGGGAAACTATTCTTTTTTTTAAAATGGCGTACAGCTGTTCCATGGAAAAGTTCTAGCAGCTCCATGGTTCAGACCACAGACTTGAAAACTGGTGTAGAATTGGAGGTCAGCTCTAGCATCAGGGATGTGCCTTTTGCCCAGAAAAAATTTACCCAAAGGCTAATAGCCTGGCCAGTCTCAGTTCATACATATTCAGCAGAAAATTATTAGAGTTGGGCAGCTAAATTCTCTGAAGACTTTGCCTGCACTGAGCATGCTTCAACAGCTCACCAGGATTTTCCCTGCAATTGCTTCTCCTATTACTACAGGCTAGGGCCCTGGAACAGAGCAGAGACATGTTCTCTCCTGTGCTCTCAAGGCTCCCCCGGCTGGCACCCAGGAGACAAAGAAAAGGAAGCCACCTGACTCAAATGCCACCTGGTGCATTCCCAGAGTACTATCCATCCTGTGCACTGAATGAGGCAGGGGTCCTGTGGGAAAAAAAGTAGTATGAGATCATGTAATTAGAAATGATAACATAATGCATATACAGGAGTAGTCTGAATTAAGGTTACATATGCAATCTTAATTCAGGTATTTCCTAAATTTGTAGTGCTTAACTTTGCAACCTTAACATTCATTTAATGTAGTTTTTGGTGTGTTATTTACAATTAAGATAGGATCATTATAGTTTACCTGGGCTAGAACCCGCTTCTCTGATCTTGAGAAGTCTTACTCATGTAAATAATTCAAATGTCTGATCTTAAAGCTGGAGTTACTCATGGGAGTAATGTTTGCCAAGACTGTCATGTGGGGTTTTGCATGGACAGGATTAAAGGAGAAGAGATTCACATATATGGCTCAATCCAGAGAGTCAGATTTAAATTTATCCCAGCAGCAGCAATATTAAGATACGTACAAAACTAAAAAAGTTATCCTGATTTTAGCTCTCACATAAAAACGGTTTCTTGTCTAAAGATTCAAACTAAAAAAGTTACATGGATCTCAGCAGGAAACTAATTTGTGTCTATATTCTAAGATCATGTATTTCCCAATGTACGCTATTTTAACATTTGGCTTGCCAGGAACTATTCTCATTCATAAATAGCTGAACTGTTTAATCATATGCTACTGCTAAACGATATTTCACAAGCTACAGAAAAACTCCAAGAGCATTAATATGTTAAGTCAAGAAGCTAGAACACAGGGTTTAAGTTTCCTATACCACAAAGGCTGGGAAAGAGAAAATAAAAATTGGGAACACAAAGTGTCCTTCAGTCAGTCACAGTTTTTACTTAGCTATTTTTTCAGAAAGCTTACGGAAAAAGTTCAACTTCCTTTCTACCATAGATCCATGGAACAGAGTTTCAGATTTCTATCTGGAAGAGAAGACTGAAAAAAAGCTTTAGTTGTCCCTTTAACCATGTGATAAAGCTGATCAGAAACACAAGAGGGAGGTGTGCATGAGAAACCACACCATCTCCAACCATCATATCCCAACTCATGGGCAAAATACAGAATTTAATTTATGAATATAGATAAGCTTAGATAAATGTGCTGTTTGTAATCCACTGCCTGGACCTAAAAAGAACATAATACAAATCCAAGACAGACCAGAGTGTTTTAAAATCATTTTGATTTGACAGATGGTCACAGGAAGAGAGTTCAGTGTGGTGATCTTACTTCAGTTCCCAGCACATCAGATTACACATCACAAATAACTAGCTCTAAACCGCTTAGTGGCAGCAGTATAGACTCGTTTGCCATCGGTCAAGCAGACTTCTGAGCATGGTTCAGTGTGATCTAGAGCACCAACAAAATGAAATGACACAGATGAACAAATCCACATTCAAAAATAAAAACCAGTTAAAACACTTCTGTAATTAAGATAGCAGATGTATACTGTGCCTTAATAAAGGAGTACAAAACCCACAACATACCTTGAACTTCAGAATAGAATTTATCCTCTGCATGACACCCCCAAACAATATCATCATGGTTGAGAATTTAAACTTTGAATATCTTATCGCATTAACAGTTTCCACAATTATAACTCAGTCCCTTTGAGCTTGAACAGTGTTATATTGCTGCACCGGGGGTTAAATACTTGCAACATGGCCAAATGACAGTTGCTCTGGGAGCCACAATTCTAAATTTCCTTCCCCTCAGTATCTCCTTCCTCCCTTTAGCCCAGTTTCTGTGGGTTGGAGTCCTCAGCTATTAAGTGATATTTTGGTATTTGATTTTAAAGAAAAAAAATAAAGGAAAAGGATGAGTTAATACATTGAAATATTTATTACAACATGTGGAGATCAAGAGATTTGAATGTGTCTGTACGGAATTCAGTACATAAAATGTAATGTGGAAGAAAAAGGTGGAACGGACTGCCTGTGCAGTTTTTTTTTTTTAACCAGAAACTGGGAAAGACATTTTTTCTCATTAAAGGGAAAGTTTTTAAAAGTTTTCATTTGAGTTCTCTGAGACATGGTAATCATGGAGTCCTATGACAACTTTTTGGATTCACTTATCAGAGCAGTACTGCACTTCAATACTAGTGTTTCTACCATTTTTTCACTAAGACAAACAGTTCCACCACAATTCATTTTTACTCACTAAAACATTTAGTGACATTTCAGGCAATACTGGCCTTTTAAAGCTACATAATACAATGTGTACCAGAATAACTAACCTGTACACTTGTCACTGCAGTAGCTTCAGACTTGGCTGCTACTTTGCTTTGTGATAAACAAAATCAAGAATATTTTCATGCCACTGTTCAAAACACTTGCACAGTAGTTACAGCCGAGACAGGTGGAGAACTAATCGAAATATGTTCTTGGTTGTTATTTGAAGGAAACTGGTCTAATATTAGCACAGGTCTGAATAATGGCTGAGGCTTTTTGAGTTGTGTACCAATTTTTTTTTCTATTTTCAAAGTTTTCAAGCTATATCTAGATGAAAAACAAAAAACACACAACCCCTCCTCTGAAAAAACCCACCCTTATATTGTCCCAAATGTTAGATGATGGTACTCAACTTTTGAGTTTACACCAAATGTTGGTACATCTGAGCCAAGGTTTGTTATATATCATATAAAACAGAATTAACAAGGGTTTTCAATGATTCGATAATTTAATCATCATAGGACAGGGGGGCACCCATTGGTAAACTAAGGGTATGGGATTTAGCAAGTAATTCTCTATAATGTCTTTCAAGAACTACATTTTCCAAACACATTTGCAAGAGTACTCTGCCCTAAAAAAAAAAAAAAAAAAAGTATCAATATTTGTCTTTGGATTTTAAGAATTTTCTACCTGTCATTTGACAATTCCTATAACAAAACTGTCGCTGAATCTGCAGTAGAGGTACCATCTGCGATGTGGTATTGGAAAACATGTTCACCAACTTAAGCAGGTATTCCGGAGAAGAATGCTGTTCTTATTCTTCCATGTAATAATACATGTAAAGATCTGTGGTCAAGAAGTATCTGACTACAGGTATTATCTATTGCTGCCTCTAGGTGTAAATAATTAGTCAGAAGCTCCTAAAACATTATGTTTCCTCTTGACAAAGACAATACTTCAACTAGTTAACTTGCCTGAAACTAGATGGGAGACTTTCTAATTTAAAGGTCTGATGCACTGAAATAAGTAACTTATTATTACTGAAGTGCATCAGACTTTTACATGTAACCCTTTCAATAAGTATAAAGGGATGCATAATTTGGATAGTCATAAGCTTATCACCATCAAGTCACATAAGACTTTGGATCCAGAGCTAGGGCTTATCCTTTTTCCACCTGACTAGGACCATTATGCAATTACAAATCTTTGCTTACACGTTGAAGGGAGCTGTAGCTCACGAAAGCTTATGCTCAAATAAATTGGTTAGTCTCTAAGGTGCCACAAGTACTCCTTTTCTTTTTGCGAATACAGACTAACACGGCTGTTACTCTGAAACCTGCTTACACGTAGTTCAAGTTCACCTAGCGTCATTGCATTCCCATGCAAGATCCCACATACTTTGGCTCAACCTTCCTAGGTTAGCATTGCCTTGAAACGGGGAGGCAGCTACTTAATTGATCTTGGGCCTTCCATGACAAATTTCAAGAAAGTTTCTGAATCTAGATACCGCTTAGAACATACGGTATTTTTTGTTCCACTATGATGGTATGTGTTACATTCTCATATCCCCATAAAGAATGAAAAAAGAGAAAATGTATCTATTTCAAGTCACTTAATTCAGCAAGCCATCTGGCTGTTCCTTAAACCAGGGGTGAATGAGGTGTGGAGACTATGGCAATTAAGTTTTCTGGCACTCCTCGTTGATAAATATGTACTCTATGTTGCAAAACAGCATAAGTTACTGTACAGTGTAGTGGTCAGTACTCACTGTTACCATTTAAGTGAGTCTAGAGCACCCATTACCAAAGTATATAGCTACCAAGAAAATTTTAAAATTATAATATAATCAGCACAGTATGAAATATTCACTACTCACCACTAAAAACTATTAAATTAGTATTTCTACAATATATTTTCAAAGCAGTCAATTCACAATATTTTACTAATTTGTAACAAGTGTTCAAGTTTGTCACATTAACTTACTGCTAATTTGCATATACAGTTATAAAAAGCCCAAGCACAAATCCTCTCTTGACTCAACATCTATACTTGCTACAAAGCTTCCGAAACAGTTCACACTCACTTAAGTGAGCTCAAAGAGAGAAACACAACCTTTTACTCTACATACTGTATCATAAGCTTTGGAAGGAAGCAAAATGTGTTGATACTACGAACCAACGAGTCTGAGTCACTTTCTGCATTCTTTAAAAAAAAAAAAAAATCTAAGATAGTATTATGATTAAAGCTGCGGAAAAGTATCAGTTCTCCTAGCCTGATAGAAACAGTATTTACTCATGGAAAAAAAAAGTTTGTACTGTCTGAGAAATAATCAGCAACAACTATTAACGCAAGTGGGACCACAAGAAAAAACAATAACCCTGTGTTTAACTCAAAGACCCTTAACCCCGTGTTTACGCTGCATGCAGTTTAATCCCAACATAATGTAATGTTCCCCCCCCCCAATTAATTCAAAAATATATTTGGAGCTCTTTCCCCACCCCATGGGACAATCAGAAATGTGACTTAATTAGCCCTCTGGAAGTCTCCAGTTTGGACAGAAACCTATAGTTTGGATCGGATATCAACAACAGAGTTGCAGTGTCAACATTTAAGACGGTGAACGTTGCTATACCGGAGAAACAATTACAACAATCCCATCCAGAGTCCAGCACTGTGTGGAGGGTGGAAAAAGAATTTGCATACTTCCCTTCTGAAACACGTTCACTCTCTGAAAACACACACTCTCTTTGCAACGGTGTCTCCCTTGAAGCGTATAAAAATGAAGCCAACCGAAGCTCTGTGTACAAGCCCCACATGCCTGCATTACGCTGTAACTTAACTCCCACAGAGAAGCAACAGCACTGCCAGGACACAGAATCTGGAACAAAACATGCTTCCCGCTCCCCCTCCATCCCATCTCTTACGCTGGGGTAGCAGAGGAGGATAGAAGGTGGTTTTCGAAGCTTGAGTTTACAGGCCTTGGTAGGAAGACAATTTAAAATGAAAACCATGTGACAGCGGCAAACCCTGTTTTCAGTCACCCCCACTATTAAGGATGAGCTGGGGGCACCGCAAGGACAGCTACAGCCCCCGAAAGTGCTACCCTCTGCCACAGGAAACGTCTCGGTCAGTGCTGACAAGGCCAGGAGAAGGGGCCCCACTTGCCCAGCAGCCCCCAAAGTCATACACTCCCTCCGGGGGGGGGGGGGAGAAGTCCCCCCAGCCCGATTTAGAAAATAGGGAGTCAACAGACACCAGAAAATTCACTTACTTACAAAGGTAACATTGTCTCACTTCCTCCCCAGACACAGAGAACCACTAGCGGTCCAGCCCAGCTCCCCCCTAACTGCTGTGCATTTCAACCAAGCCCTACCAGGATCCGAGCGGGCGGCGCACCACAGCACCCCAGCTACGCCAAGCCAATGAGCCCCGGCTTCTCCCGCGACGGAGGTAGCGTCCACTCAATCAGCAGCCTGCGAAGGCGGAGCCTAGGCACGCCGAGGAGCAGGGCGGCTGTATTTCGCTGGAAAGAGAAACCGCGGCGCTACTTCCTGCTCGGCACCACGTGACTCCTCCAGGTGCTCCAGCTGTGCAGTATTTAATGTCAACAGCTGAGGCGCCAGGTTGGTATTGGGCAGGCGAGTTCCCAGGCGCTGCAGACCGGCCTCTGGTCACCTGGCACACATGGTGGCAGCACTCGGGCTTTAATTAAAGGCTGTCTTGTTTTTAACTCTGTTTTTAATTCATTCCTGCCGATTCGGATTGGTGCATTTAAAAACAACGTGCATCTGATTTTCTCGTACTGGAGCCGCCTGCAGGAAACCGCAGCTGTTCTCCATCTCGGTGTATCTGGAGTAGGGACTGGGGCAGTCCTCCCTCGGATGCTGAATACTGTGCGCAAAGCGATGCCACTCACTCCCCAAACTCCTCTCCCGCTTGCATGGACCGTAGGAGGATTTGGAGCCGTGTGAGCGGTCGGAAGGGACTCGATCTACGTATTTGCATGCGGGATCCGAGCTCCGCGATTACCATGCGTGTTGGTGACATCTGGCGCTGGCAGCTCCCTGGATCCAATAGAGGGTAATCTGAACTGAGCCGCGGGAGGTAGACCAGCGGGGACACCAGTTCACCCAGCGAGCAGCCCGCCAGTTGGAGCCCGCTGGCTGGGGCACTGGTCTGCAGCCTGCCTGAGCCATGGTGAAGGAGGAATGCAAAGCGCTGCTCGATGCGCTCAGCAAGGTGACTGCTTGCTATCGGCACATGGTGCTGACCATCGGGGGCACCTCGGACTCGCAGAACCTGCGGGAGGAGCTCAAGAAGACTCGGCAGAAAGCCCAGGAGCTGGCGGTGGCTAACAGGAACAAGCTCACCGCCGTCTTGAAGGACAAGACGGTGAGTAAGGAGGATAAGACTGAATTCGAGAGGCTCTGGGTGATCTTCTCCACTTGCATGGAGATCCTGGAGATTGACATGAAGAGAGCCCTGGAGCTGGGCCAGGAGTTTCCCCTAAACGTTCCCAAAAAGCACCTGATCCAGACGGGCATGAGCGGGGGAACCTCTGGGGTGGCCGCCAGGGCTATGAGCGTCCAGAACATGAAATACGAGGCTGAACACAACATAGATGTAGTGGATTTGAAAGACCTGGAGAACGAGATCAACCAAGTAGGAGAGATGATGTACGAGATGGAGATGAAGGTGAATGTCCCCCAATGGACAGTAGAGGCTAAGCAGGACCCTGGGGCTGAACTCAAATCCACCATTAGCGTGGGCGCCTCCTCCATTGGCATGATCTCCGTGGAGGAAAACAAATCCTTCTGCGATATCAGCAAAGTTCTAGCTGGGATCATTTTCTCCGCGGTGCTCATTATCGCTATTGTCTTGGCGGTGTGTGTGGTAAAACTCTCATAGGCTGGCTTAGTTTTTCTGCAAGACAGAACCACTTTCTCTCACACAAGTATTTCATGCAGTATGGATCGCTTCAGGATGGGTCACTTGGAAGAGCTGACAATTTAACATCTTGCGTATAAAACAAATCTGGATGGCATACAATCTGATCATGCGTGGAGCATCTGGATGTATGTGGTTTTGGTTTGTTTGAAAGCTCTAAAGGTACGGATCAGCCTACAATATAGGATGACTTTTTGCTGGTTTTGTAATGGTTAACTGTGTGCAAAGTATCAGGGTATTATCACTACAGGCTATAGCAGGGATTTGTCTGCTATTAATAGATTACTGTTCTCAGTAGCCTGAAATTATTCTTTAATAGGCTCTGATGTTCATTGCTGGTCCATGTTTACAAAGTAGTTGAGAATTGCACAGGATTTGGGGTCTAAGGTGGATGTCTGTGGCAAAACTAATGGACACGTGTGTGAGTTTTCCTCTCAAACACAGGATATTCTGTCCAGAAGAAAAAATAGAAAATCCCAGTAAGAAGATTAAACAACCTCTATTTTATCTTAATTCTTGGAGAGTGTGCAACATTTGATACCAAATGCACTGTTTGTACAGTCCCTAATTGCACTTTTTGGCAGGGTACACATTAATAATCACGAAAGGCAATAAAAATCTTCAAAGTAGATGGAGAGTATCTTCTGTAGAACAGCTTTCACAGAGAGATATTAACAGGCTCCATCCCTCCCTTTTATACATCTCCTTTTATTTTCCCCAGCAGAAAAGCTGATTCTTGCTACTTGTCCAAATTCTTCTTTCCATGCAAGTGGTTGGACTTCACATCAGCTGCAAAATTAAATATTTATCCAAAATTAGAAGTAGTAATTTCTAAAACAGGTTGTGGCAAACTAACAAAATCATGTAAAGTGAAAACCGATGCTCTAGCTTGTCTGCCTCAGTTTCTGTAGCACAAATAGAGGTCTAATCTCATGTTGACCTCTTACTGTTAATGAGATCTATATCTGCAGGAATCCAGAGGAAACTAGAACTGCAGGGCTCAATCCTGTTGTTTTTATTTGCCTGATTAGTCCAATTGAAATGACTGGAAATGCAAAATTGGGCCTATAGTTGATATCTTTAATCGGATGCCTGTGCAGTTTTGTAAGAACAGAGCATAAAGCCTAACTGACATTTTGTTCTTGTTTGATTGTTTGCATGTAGACAGTTTAAACTCTTTTCCCTCCCCCAATAAAACTGTGAGTACTGACACAACACTGACTTTGAAGAGAATTTCTGTGATCTCTTGCATAAAAATGCATGTATTCATTTTTTAAATATACAAATTATGTACATCTGTTCTGATTAAAGTAGACTTGCTCCTATGCACACAGATTCTTGAGGAGCTATACAATGCCAGGGGCATAGATTGTACTGTTCAGGCAAATATAAAGACAAGGCACTGCTTTAGAGGGTGTAAAGTGATAAATTAGTGACTCCTCTGAATTGAGCATAAAGGACGCATTACTAAAATTCACCATGAAATTTGTTGACAAGAAGTTACTGGGCATATGCAGTATTAGTGTGTATGCGTGTTTTAAACAAAATCATGTTAGCTTTCTTAATAAAACAGTTTTGTGATTCAAAAGATGGCAAACATATTTAAAATATTATTATTAACCATGTTTATTACAGTTATGCCTAAGGGCCAATCAAGAGTGAGTCCCCCATTATATATAGGTACCATACAAACACAGAGCAGTAGACGGTTCCTGCCCTGAAAAGCTTACAATCTAAATAGACAAGATTGGAGGAAGATGCTCTTCTGAGGTGAAGAGACTGAGGGAGGAGTGGGGAGCAGGAAGGTTGGAGCAAACAGCCAAGCAACACAGGAGAGATAAAGCATGGTCAAAACTGTAGAAAGTTCTCCAATGGACCAAAAATCCCTGCTTTGGTTGCGTCTGCCCTTATTGACTGGAGTTTCTGGTTGGCTACTCCACAGTTTTCTCCTCGTGCCCCCAGAGTTTACCCTTTAAAAGTGAAGACGAGTAAAGTTAGATTTTTGGAGCGCAAATAAAAGCTCTTGTATGTCATATTTCAACCTATACATTGTTGTAGCCACGTCGGTCCTAGGATATCAGAGAGACAAGGCAGGTGAGTTAATATAGTTTATTGGTTTCAGAGTAGCAGCCATGTTAGTCTGTATTTGCAAAAAGAAAAGGAGTACTTGTGGCACCTTAGAGACTAACAAATTTATTTGAGCATAAGCTTTCGTGAGCTACAGCAGTGTATAAAGCCTCACGAAAGCTTACGCTCAAATAAATTTGTTAGTCTCTAAGGTGCCACAAGTACTCCTTTTCTTTTTGCAAATACAAACAAATTTATTTGAGCATAAGCTTTCGTGAGCTACAGCTCACTTCATCGGATGCTGTAGCTCACGAAAGCTTATGCTCAAATAAATTTGTTAGTCTCTAAGGTGCCACAAGTATTCCTTTTCTTTTTATAGTTTATTGGACCAACTTCTGTTGGTGAGAGAGAGAAGCTGACACAGAGCTCTTCAGTCTGGGAAGTATCCTCAGAGTATCACAGCTAAATATAAGGTGGAACAGAATGTTTAACACATATTTCAAGAGACCATTCATGTTTAAGTGGTCAGTTAACACTAAGTGGAAACACTAATCCATGCTACTACAGTCTGAATTTAAGGCCATATATTGATCTTCCTCAGCATGTGGAATTCTCATAGATGCGAATGTGAATTTTGCATATGGTCCAGCCCAGGCTAAGTCTTTATGTGTTGTGGGGATTCATAGCAAGGCTGTAGATTTTTAACCAATACAGTTCACTTATTTTACTGGGGTAATATCGTATGTGATTATTAATCTGACTGCTTAATGGTCACAAACAGATTATTTTGAGAAGAGAGAGAAAGTTTGTATTTTTGGTGCTATTGTTCCAGTCTGCCTAGATGGAGACTTGCTGAAACTGCTGTGCATTGACTTACAAGTGAAGGACTCCTTCACAACTATAAGGGCTTGACAACTTTTCTAAAAATACACACGCACACAAAAAATTGCAGGAAAACCTTAATACTATAGATTTGGATTGCTACCACCAATCACAAGATATTCATGTTCACTGTTTGCACTCTCCCATCATTCAGTTTACAAGGAACTGAATAAGAGCTAGGACCTTATCCTGTTTTCCTTGCACACCTTTTACTCCTATTGTGCTCAATTAACTTTGGTAGGAGTTTTGGTTGTCCAAGGAATGCAGTTTTGGTATCCGGTGGATAATAAATGATTAATTGTCTTGAAGTCCTGAACTGTGTAGACTGTCTGTCTTCAGTTAGTTGTATAAGTGTTTTAACAGTAAACGATTTGACATTTTCAAAAATGAGCCTCAGGTTAATGAGTTGTAAATCTGTAGTGTATACAAGACACATGCACTCAGCTACTCAAATCTTTATTTCTGTGAGTAGCCCTTATTCATGTAAGTAGCTCCTCTTACTTCAGTGTGATTACTCCCATAAATAAGCCTTTGCAGGACTGGACCCCTTATCATTCCAAAAAATTAAACTTTTCTATCTCAGCGTAAACTGCAGATGTACACATCATTAACTTGTCCATGTCTCAACAACATCAGTATTGTCAATTGAGCATACATTAAGGTATGTGATATTAAAAGATAATCAGAAGTCTGAGAGCAGGATTGGCACCACCTAATTGGCTAATACCCTACCATTAATCTCCTAAAAATACCTAGTACAACTGTATGTACAACGTGACATAGTTCAGGGAAAGTTACATGCATAAAATCCAAATGGTAATAAACAAAAACCCTTTGTGCAAGTCTGCATCAAGGAGCAGATCCTAGTCTCATCAAATAATCCAAAATTTTGCCTTAGATTTAAATGGGAGCAAGAGCAGTCCCCCAACCAAGTAAATATTTTGCACTTTGATTCTTACTGCTATGAGAAAGCTTTTTGTGTCATGTTAGAATATCTTATTATAAATAGAAACTTTACAAATAAGAATATGGGGAGAATGTTATAACATCCCAATGAGCAACCTGAAAGACATTAACTAGCAATTACAATTTATTTATCCATTGAATACCTTTTAAAAAAAGCTGAATTAAACAATGAAATTTGGTTTCTTGTGAAACAAATTAATCCTTTTGTTCTGAAAATTCTGTTCAGTTTACAGATTTTCATGCTAGGAATGAACTTTATAATTGCAGTTTGAAGGGATTGAGAAGAATATTTTTGCAAATAACAATTATTAAAATCAAGCTTTATAATATTGTACATGTTCAATGTGTGACAAAAATAAAAATATTTTGACTATGATGCTAACCTGGGACCAAAATGTTATTCTGTGTATTCAGCAAGAAATTAAGCAATGTGCATTTTTTTCATACTATCAGATTTTATTTCAAAATAATTGTCTTATCAATATTGCATAGCCATTTTAATATGAGTCTGTGAAATATTAAAATCTTAGAGTTGAATGAACTTGCATCATTCCATCCTGTACATGGTGGAATGACATTTTCTATACTTGCAGTAAAACTTGCTAATGTCACTATTATTTCTTCCATTTAAAATAAAGTATGTTCTGTTAACTAACTGGTTCACTTGCAGCAGTAATTAAATAAAAAAAAACTTTAAAAATATGTCTATTGACAATTAGCTCAATAAACCAGATGATTCTATTTCATTCTAAATCATCTGACTGATATACCAAATTCTCAGATACAAACACCATAATTCTACATTCCTATTAAAGAAAAAACAAGTACCTTCTGACTACTATTCCAAAATTAGGAGCCTAAATACCTTTGTGGATCTGGGCGCTGGTCCCTAACCCCATTAGTACAGCATTGTCTCCTGCAGTACATTATATACTAATACTTTGCCCACTCTAGTTTCATTGATTTCAATGGAAGTAAGGAGCCTAAATACCATTAGAGTCTGCACCTCGGTGATATAATAAATCTTTTCTATCTCTAATGTCTGGGACCCAAATTCTGTGGTCTTGAGTCAAGCAAAGGTCCTATTGACTACAATAGAAGTTTTGCTCGATTGAAGGACCACAAAATATGGGCCATTGGCTCTCATAATAACAGTGGAAGCTAACCTGTTTCTGTGAAATGTTGCAATTGTTAAACTTGACAAAATTAATTCTGGAATCGTTCCCCATCCATAAAGTTAAGCGCATGGGTAAGTCTGCAGGATCTGGGCCTTAGTTCATAAACTACCTGAACACCGGACTAATTGGTAATGCTCATGTTCTAAACTGACAGCACAATGTGAATCTCATGGCATCATGAATATGAGGTAGGATTAAAGTCTCAGCATTTAATATACAGAACTATGTAAAAATATTTTCTAATATGAATTAAATTATTCAAAGTAACAATACTGAACAAATTGCATGATGTCAAAGCAGCATTGGGATTTAAAAATAAAACACAAGTTCCCATTTTTGTAACCTGAAAGATTGATTATAGCCTTTTAAAAAAAATTATATTGAGGAATGATCATATATACAGAAATGTTTAAATGTTTTCGATGCTTCTGATCAATATATTTACTCTTCACAGATTTTCATTATGTAAAAAGTCTTTCAGGAATACTATTGGATTATAGTTCTCTAAATGCTTTCTCTCAGTATGATTATGTTAGTCTTTTAATGCAGGCTGAGTCTGTGCAGAATTGTAGGTCTACATGTGAACAGTCATTTGCTGTTGTAAGCACACAGTAAAAGGGGGCTTAATGAAGAAATTATTATTTGTTATATCTGATGTACTTGAATAACATGGAAAGATCTTACCCCTGGTCTACACAAGGACTTTAGGTCGAATTTAGCAGCATTAAATCGATGTAAACCTGCACCCGTCCACATGATGAAGCCCTTTATTTCGACTTAAAGGGCTCTTAAAATCAATTTCCTTACTCCACCCCTGACAAGTGGATTAGCGCTTAAATCGGCCTTGCCGGCTCGAATTTGGGGTACTGTGGACACAATTCAACGGTATTGGCCTCCAGGAGCTATCCCAGAGTGCTCCATTGTGACCGCTCTGGACAGCACTCTCAACTCAGATGCACTGGCCAGGTAGACAGGAAAAGAACCGCGAACTTTTGAATCTCATTTCCTGTTTGGCCAGCGTGGCAAGCTGCAGGTGACCATGCAGAGCTCATCAGCAGAGGTGACTATGATGGAGTCCCAGAATCGCAAAAGAGCTCCAGCATGGACCGAACGGGAGGTACGGGATCTGATCGCTGTATGGGGAGAGGAATCCGTGCTATCAGAACTCCGTTCCGGTTTTCGAAATGCCAAAACCTTTGTCAAAATCTCCCAGGGCATGAAGGACAGAGGCCATAACAGGGACCCGAAGCAGTGCCGCGTGAAACTGAAGGAGCTGAGGCAAGCCTACCAGAAAACCAGAGAGGCGAACGGCCGCTCTGGGTCAGAGCCCCAAACATGCCGCTTCTATGATGAGCTGCATGCCATTTTAGGGGGTTCAGCCACCACTACCCCAGCCGTGTTGTTTGACTCCTTCAATGGAGATGGAGGCAATACGGAAGCAGGTTTTGGGGACAAAGAAGATGATGATGAGGAGGAGGAGGAGGTTGTAGATAGCTCACAGCAAGCAAGCGGAGAAACTGGTTTTCCCGACAGCCAGGAACTGTTTCTCACCCTGGACCTGGAGCCAGTACCCCCCGAACCCACCCAAGGCTGCCTCCTGGACCCAGCAGGCGGAGAAGGGACCTCCAGTGAGTGTACCTTTTAAAATACTATACATGGTTTAAAAGCAAGCATGTGAAAGGATTACTTTGCCCTGGCATTCGCGGCTCTCCTGGATGTACTCCCAAAGCCTTTGCAAAAGGTTTCTGGGGAGGGCAGCCTTATTGCGTCCTTCATGGTAGGACACTTTACCACTCCAGGCCAGTAACACGTACTCGGGAATCATTGTACAACAAAGCATTGCAGTGTATGTTTGCTGGCGTTCAAACAACATCCGTTCTTTATCTCTCTGTGTTATCCTCAGGAGAGTGAGATATAATTCATGGTCACCTGGTTGAAATAGAGTGCTTTTCTTCAGGGGACAGTCAGAGGAGCCCATTCCTGCTGGGCTGTTTGCCTGTGGCTAAACAGAAATGTTCCCCACTGTTAGCCACAGGGAGGGGGGAGGGTTGAGGGGGTAGCCACGCAGTGGGGGGAGGCAAAATGCGACCTTGTAACGAAAGCACATGTGCTATGTATGTAATGTTAAAAGCAAGGTTTACCCTGAAAGAGTGTAGCCACTGTTTTATAAAATGTCTTTTTAAATACCGCTGTCCCTTTTTTTTTCTCCACCAGCTGCATGTGTTTCAATGATCACAGGATCTTCTCCTTCCCAGAGGCTAGTGAAGCTTAGAAAGAAAAAAAAACGTACTCGAGATGAAATGTTCTCCGAGCTCATGCTGTCCTCCCACACTGACAGAGCACAGACGAATGCGTGAAGGCAAATAATGTCAGAGTGCAGGAAAGCACAAAATGACCGGGAGGAAAGGTGGCAGGCTGAAGAGAGTGAGTGGCGGGCTGAAGAGAGTAAGTGGCGGGCTGAAGACAGGGCTGAAGCTCAAATGTGGCGGCAGCGTGATGAGAGGAGGCAGGATTCAATGCTGAGGCTGCTGGAGGACCAAACCAGTATGCTCCAGTGTATGGTTGAGCTGCAGCAAAGGCAGCTGGAGCACAGACTGCCACTACAGCCCCTGTGTAACCAACCGCCCTCCTCCCCAAGTTCCATAGCCTCCAAACCCAGACGCCCAAGAACGCGGTGGGGGGGCCACTGGCCAACCAGCCACTCCGCCACAGAGGATTGCCCCAAAAAAAGAAGGCTGTCATTCAATAAATTTTAAAGTTGTAAACTTTTAAAGTGCTGTGTGGCATTTTCCTTCCCTCCTCCACCACCCCTCCTGGGCTACCTTGGTAGTCATCCCCCTATTTGTGTGATGAATGAATAAAGAATGCATGAATGTGAAGCAACAATGACTTTATTGCCTCTGCAAGCGGTGATCGAAGGGAAGAGGGGAGGGTGGTTAGCTTACAAGGAAGTAGAGTGAACCAAGGGGCGGGGGGTTTCATCATGGAGAAACAAACAGAACTTTCACACCGTAGCCTGGCCAGTCATGAAACTGGTTTTCAAAGCTTCTCTGATGCGTACCGCGCCCTCCTGTGCTCTTCTAACCGCCCTGGTGTCTGGCTGCGCGTAACCAGCAGCCAGGCGATTTGCCTCAACCTCCCACCCCGCCATAAACGTCTCCCCCTTACTCTCACAGATATTGTGGAGCACACAGCAAGCCGTAATAACAGTGGGAATATTGGTTTCGCTGAGGTCTAAGCGAATCAGTAAACTGCGCCAGCGCGCCTTTAAACGTCCAAATGCACATTCTACCACCATTCTGCACTTGCTCAGCCGGTAGTTGAACAGCTCCTGACTACTGTCCAGGCTGCCTGTGTACGGCTTCATGAGCCATGGCATTAAGGGGTAGGCTGGGTCCCCAAGGATACATATAGGCATTTCAACATCCCCAACAGTTATTTTCTGGTCTGGGAATAAAGTCCCTTCCTGCAGCTTTTGAAACAGTCCAGAGTTCCTGAAGATGCGAGCGTCATGTACCTTTCCCGGCCATCCCACGTTGATGTTGGTGAAACGTCCCTTGTGATCCACCAGAGCTTGCAGCACTATTGAAAAGTACCCCTTGCGGTTTATGTACTCGGCAGCTTGGTGCTCCGGTGCCAAGATAGGGATATGGGTTCCGTCTATGGCCCCACCACAGTTAGGGAATCCCATTGCAGCAAAGCCATCCACTATGACCTGCACATTTCCCAGGGTCACTACCCTTGATATCAGCAGATCTTTGATTGCGTGGGCTACTTGCATCACAGCAGCCTCCACAGTAGATTTGCCCACTCCAAATTGATTCCCAACTGACCGGTAGCTGTCTGGCGTTGCAAGCTTCCACAGGGCTATCGCCACTCGCTTCTCAACTGTGAGGGCTGCTCTCATCTTGGTATTCATGCGCCTCAGGGCAGGGGAAAGCAAGTCACAAAGTTCCATGAAAGTGCCCTTACGCATGCGAAAGTTTCGCAGCCCCTGGGAATCATCCCAGAGCTGCAACACTATGCAGTCCCACCAGTCTGTGCTTGTTTCCCGAGCCCAGAATCGGCGTTCCACAGCATGAACCTGCCCCATTAGCACCATGATGCATGCATTGACAGGGCCCATGCTTTCAGAGAAATCTGTGTCCATGTCCTGATCACTCACGTGACCGCGCTGACGTCGCCTCCTCGCCCGGTATCGCTTTGCCAGGTTCTGGTGCTGCATATACTGCTGGATAATGCGTGTGGTGTTTAATGTGCTCCTAATTGCCAAAGTGAGCTGAGCGGCCTCCATGCTTGCCTTGGTATGGCGTCCGCACAGAAAAAAGGCGCGGAACAATTGTCTGCCGTTGCTCTGACGGAGGGAGGGGCGACTGATGACACGGCTTACAGGGTTGGCTTTAGGGAGCTAAAATCAACAAAGGGGATGGCTTTACATCAAGGAGTATTCAGGTAGGACTTCACGGAGGGTTCCAATAAGAAATGGTGCACCTAAGTTATTGTTCTTATTGGAACAAGGAGGTTAGCCTGGCCTCTGATTGATACATGGCTAGATTTACCTCGCTGCACCTTCTCTGTGAGTGACTGCAGTGTGACCTAGAGGAATGAGTCCCCTAGACAGGGGAGGGGGGAAGCAAATGAGTACAAAACAAATCTGGTCTATTTCTTGTTTTGATCCACTCCATCTATCTTTTACATCTTTGGCTGGCAGCAGACGGTGCAGAAGGACTGCATGCCATCCACATCTCATGGCTGCTCGGCAGAAGATGGTACAGTACGACTGCTAGCCATCCTCATCTCTTGCCTGCCCGGCAGAAGATGGTACAATCCGACTGCTAGCCATCCTCATCTCTTGCCTGCCCGGCAAATCCGTATCGCCTGCCTACTCACCATAAGATGAGGTCAATAGGACTGACTGGAGGACTAAAGAGAATGACCTGGTCAAGTCACTCCAAATTTAGTCCCTGCGCCCATGTCTGCCCAGGCGCTCCCAGCCGACGTGGCCAGGAACACCTCGGACACGACGAGGACGGCTACCAGTCGTACTGCACCATCTGCTGCCAGAAGGCAATGGGTTGCTGCTACTGTGTAGCAATGCCGTACCACGTCTGCCAGCACCCAGGAGACATACGGTGACGGTTACGGCTCCATGCTTGCCGTGGTATGGCGTCTGCACAGGTAACTCAGGAAAAAAGGTGCGAAACGATTGTCTGCCCTTGCTTTCACGGAGGGAGGGAGGGAAGGGGGGCCTGACAATATGTACCCAGAACCACCCGCGACAATGTTTTAGCCCCATCAGGCATTGGGATCTCAACCCAGAATTCCAATGGGCAGCGGAGACTGCGGGAACTGTGGGATAGCTATCTACAGTGCAACGCTCCGGAAGTCGACTCTAGCCTCGGTACTGTGGAAGAACTCCGCCGAGTTAATGCACTTAATGCACTTAGAGCATTTTCTGTGGGGACACACACACTCGAATATATAAAACCGATTTCTAAAAAACTGACTTCTATAAATTCGACCTTATTCCGTAGTGTAGACATACCCTTACTGACAGCTCATTCACCTGTGCACGTTGGGGAGGGAGGAAAACGGTATGTGGGCAAATATGTACTTTAATAATTTTATGACAGTAAAGTATGACTCCTTGCAATATGGTTATGCTATTATGTAGTTTTAAACAGGTGAAGATAAATTACATCTTGTTAAAGTCCTAAAAGAAAAATAATAAAAATGAATTGGATAATGAAAGTGATTACAATTTTAAACTTTAAAATGCTGCATTTCAGAATGAGTTACTTTGGATTAATCATGTGGCATATCAGTCCATACTTGACCAAAGTTAAAGGATAGTTCAAAATATATTTTGCAGTTTTCTGAAAGGAAAAGAATGTAAGTGCTGAATTCTCAAGCTATTTTATTCTACATCTAGATCAGATGATTGGGCATGGCTTCAATATATAATCTATCTGCTGAACAAGTAAAAAATCATATCAAGGAGTCTTGGAATTATGCCAGTGCTGAACCCTAGGTATCCAAAAAGAAGTCTTGTATCTTTCTCCAGTCCAAGATGTGGCATCTAAAATGCAACACAACACTGATGATAACAACATTGCCTGAATCCATGTATTACTTTGCATTAGATTCAACTGTCTTGCATGTTATATACACACACAGAGCTCTGTTTAATATCTTGTAAAATGTAGGTATGGTTTGTTGAGAAAATAAATGGAGCAATGACACATTTCCAAAGAGTAATGTGAGCTATTCTTAGTTAGTGCTTACACATTGGTTCAAGTATATGTGATTTGGAGCTCTGTATTTTTACCTTTTTTTTTGTTTTATTTTGTTTTTGGGGTATGTTATTTGATAACTTGCATTTTCAGTTTAAAATATTCAATCTAGGGGAAAGGATGTACCAACAGCCTTAATTCTGTATGTATGAATTGTATATATCCTGGCTCTTGCCTATTCCTTCATAACAAGAGATATACTATCAGACGTAAAGGGTCTGCATCTTCTCTCACATTACTATAAATCAGGAGCAAATCCATTGAGCTCAGTGGAGTGACATCAGTATAAAATTGGCATCAATTAAAGGAGAATCAGGCCCATAGTGTTTATGCTGGTATTGTTAGCTCTATCAGCTGGATAACATTTGCTTGATTTGCCTAACGAGCCTTTTAGGGGGTGGGCACAAATCAACACTGAGCAAAATGAGCATAGTTAAGTTAGTTACATTTGTATAATACTTAACATAGTTTACAATTTGGCTGCAAAAAATTACTTGTGGCTAAAACCTGCTGCAATATAAACAGTTCAAACCAGAAGCAAAATAATAAAATAAAATAAAACACATACATACACCCCTCTCTTCAATTATCTTCAAAAATTTGGAGAGTGTAATGGGTGTTCCTACAATTCAAAAAACAGCTTCTTTCAAACTGCAAGTTTAAAAGCTATTAGACTGGATTTAGTTTGCTCACACAATACAAATAAAAGTCAGATTTATTTTAAGATATTTCACAATATTTTTCCCAAACAAAAATTTCAGATTCAGAATAAACGTATAGTAAATCTTGAAAACAGATTTTGTTCCATGTCTATTCTTATACCTATCACTGTACTGAGTGCCTAAGTGAATATGAAAGCTATTCAAGCTGTATGTGTACTAAATTATATTCCAGCTAAATTAAAGCAGATCACAAAACTAGGGAATGTTCTGTATCTTACCAGCACTCCTGCACGTTACACCTTTGTGAAAGTTTGTGAGGTAAATACTTCTCACTGTACTGAATGTCTTTGAAAACATTTATTTCAAATGGATATTTCTCAGTCTGTTGCTTGTGGGTTCTCACAGAAGCCTGTGAAGGTGGTGTCTTGCCTGCCTATTGTTAACTATATCTTGTATTCAGAGTAGCAGCCGTGTTAGTCTGTATCCGCAAAAAGAAAGGGAGAACTTGTGGCACTGTATTCAATATTAAACGTAATGCTATGATTCTAGAAGTTATATCACCCTTTGCCTGCCAAGTCCATTTCTGGTGTGACAGCACTGAATTCAGGGGCTTTCATCAGTGATGAATTTGCCTGAGGGAATATATTCCCATGCATGATAATGAAACAGTCTCCCAAAGATGTGCTGAAGAAAAACACAGTGAAGAGTTTTTCTGTATAACATCTAATGATCGGACTCAGAAGACATGAGGAAAACCTCTTATTAAATGCAAAAAACTAAATTAAGGAAAATATAAACACAGATAGCCTCAGCACTACAAAATTCATAGCTGGACATTAAGCTTAGATTACAAAGTATGGAAAGATCTCCTGTAAT